TAATGAGGTCGATATTTCTGCCCCCCTCTCTGTTCCTGTTTCTCCTGGAGTCCTCCCTCCCTCCTGCCTCCCCAGGCTGCTGAAATGCGTCTTGGCTCAGGACCCATGCCTCTGGCAGCCAGAGTGCTATACATGTGCACAGAACCCCGCTCGGCATAAAATGGCTGCCAGACAGGCTTTTCCTCCTGAAATGTCGACAGCGGTATGCATCTGCAGGCTGTGCGAGGTGCGCGTGCGCACTCTTATTTTGTGGGGATACTTGTATGTGTCTGCATGTGTTTGTGCGATAGTTCCACGCATTGAGGTAGAAAACTGCGTTTCCTAAACTGTGGCTAATTTGAGCCACACTGTGTTGTGTACGTGCATGTGTGTTCAAGTATTCAGGGGACCCAAGCGGGTATCATGCCAAAAATGAGAGGGATGGGTTGGTGGAGGGAGCGAGTGTTTTAGAGATTATAAAATCCAGGCGGGCAGCGAATGGGCGTGGAGAAGCCTCACAAGAACTGAGAAACTTTCCTGCGGAGCCAAATTTCTGTTGCCATTACCCGTAATTGCTCTAATGGTTACAGTGGTATGATAAGTATCCCACCGGACAAGAAGGTGTTAGAACTCATGGACACATCCAATAGCCACCAGCCTTCTCTGCTGTTTTTTCCCTTTTGCTGAGTAACAGTAGATAATCTGATTCATACGTGTTTCCTTCATGAAACGGTTTGTTTATTTAAACAAGTGGCAGGGACAGAGGGTGCCAAGAAATGTTGTTTTTGGAAAGGGCCGTGGGTGTACGTGTGGGGTGTGTGTGTCAGCCTCCTCCAGCCCTGCCAAGCTCCCAGGGCTGAGCCGGCCTCCTCCACCACAACTGTTTATTTACAGGTTACTCCAGTGTTTATTTGAACACTATCGGATTGGCCCGGCTTCTGCACAGAACACCTTTCAGACACTGGCCAAGGCTCTTTTACACACTGTTCCATCTTTTCACTTTATATCTGACTTTCAACCTAAAATAAGAAACCTAATCTAAAGACCTGTTGAATTACAAAACATGCCCTGAAATGTATTGTAACTTTGCCGTAAGGTTACATTAAGTATGCAGCACTTAAAAACACTAATTATAGCACATAGTGTATTTGCCCGGAGGTAGCAGTGCCACGCTGCCCTTCCTGGGTCAAAGGTAGAATGTAATGCAATAGGGGAGGTGTACAGCGCTCGGGTGCAGCCTGGGCAGATGTGCCATATGCCGGATCCACCTTGAGTCGTCCAGGTGGTCTCTCCTGGTGCTACAGCGGGGCCTCATGCTGGAGGATGCTGCCTGGGATCTCTAATTGCCACGACCATCTGCTCTTTTTGTCATGGTTGCCTGTTCAGCCCTTGAAGTCAAGAAAAAACGCAAAAACAAAAAGACAAACTCTGATCGGACTTAAAGCCACTCACCCCCCCTACTTCTCCTTGTATACTGTAGCCCTCTTCGTCTGGTTACATTCACCTTCCTCTTCCTCTCCTCTCTCCCTCTCTCTCTCTCTGCTTTCTCTGCGGCTCTGTGTCTTTGCGGCGGGCGTGGAGTTGGCAGTTGTAACTAGACTGATGGATGACTCTGAAAGTGGCATGGGGGGCGGGGGAAGACGGAGAGACAAGGCCGACCGAGCTCCCCGCAATCACTTTATAGACATGTTCTGTGCCAAGTCCACACAAAACTCCTGCCTGCCCACAAAGGCCGCTTTACAACCCTAATGCGTGCGTGTGTGTACAGAGAATTGCTCCTTACTGCAAGCAAAGCAGTGGGAACTGTTTTGCTGAGACCATACAAATGAATGGACGCATTTTTTTCTACAGCAGCCTAGTAAAACTTGAGCTATGTTTTTATGCTATCCGGAAGCGAGGCCGACATACATTATAACGCCCGTATATATCTTTGTTTTAGGGCTACACTCACCAAAAAAAGTTGTTGCTTTTTTCTCGTTTCTTAACGTATGGTCCTGCTCCCTCCCTACTTTGTCATCGTTGAGCTACGGCCAAGAACATTCTGTTTTTGCAGCGCTGTTTAATAGTCAAATTTAGGAGCGGGGAACAGGCAACAGAGACATAGCAGAGGAACAAGAAAATGATAAATCTTTCAACCGTTTTTTTTTTTTTTTTTTTTTTTGGGGTAACTTTCTTTTACTCTCACTCCCCCTATTTTTTCTTTTTCTATCCCACAACTCAGGGCAGAGAAAGGCGGTTCTTGGGAGCAGGGGGGCATTTGAGTTCAATGTCTTCTGTCTTGTCTGTGTTTTAAGGCGGGGATGATAATGAGACTGCTGGTTCTTATTGGGGCATGTGTGTGGCTCAGACTGGTTTCAATCAATCCCCAGGTCCACTTCAATCATCTTTTTACACAGGGTTTTACTCCTAAGCAACCAGAACTTGATTCACACAACTGCCAAAAGGATATTGACTGTTTAGCACGGAAACAAAGTTGATAAGAAATGTGTTGTAATAGTAGATTATATAGCAATTATAGAGTTATGACTTTGAAATCCTTTGAGTCCTGTTCTGCGTAGGGTTGTTAAAAGTATATTCAAAATCAATCTTAATACTGCATATTGAAACAAGATACTCATTTAAATGAGTGTCGATAAAAAACTATAATTCTTGAGGCATTTTATAAGGATTTTGATCTATTTCAGAACTGGTTCCAAAGAAATACTAATAATTGGGCACTGTTATTAAGAGATATATATTGTGGTGCAAAATAGATTCTATTTTAAGTCGTCATCATAGGATCAAAATTCATATGATCGATTGTGGAGTTAATATTAGTATTTTGTAATGTGGCAACTTTAGGTCTCGGCTCTACTTGCAATATTATTTCATTCAAGAGTGTTGTGGGGGAAGAGGCTGTGAATGCTTTTCGCAACATTTTGGCAATATTATCTAATTATGATATTTCTGACCAACATTGTGAACGCGATTTTCCATATCCTACACAAAATGTATGTTTAACAAGTCTAATTTTGTTCCGAATAAAAATATCAACTTCAAGAGAGATTGAAAAAAGTGTACATAAGAAGCCATTACCTGAGATACATTTGAGGAGTTTTAACCTTTAGTACATCAGATTGGACACGGCAAAAATGATAAATATTAATATATACACTTTTATGAAGTTGGTTTTCATCTTTTCTCACAAGATTCTCACCGTCAGTTGTGCAACACTTTTTGACAGATTATATAAACAAATGAGAAATGATACATGACAACAAGACGAAAGATGCTTGTCCCATTGCCAACCTTTTAACGTTTACAAAGACCTTAGATAACTGTAGTCTTTGCGATTCGCTAAAGGCAACCACCAAAATTGCAATTGCGATGAAACCATGCAGCCCTACCATGTCGTACCTTATAGTGCTTAGATTATTTGAATAAAAAAAACTCATTATTTATTTTTCTTCTATTCCTGTATGGGCCGATGTTTAGATTAACTTTTGCTCCGTGGGGGTTGACAGATCTGCCTCTCTGGTGAGGAACAACACACGTCACAAAGCACCAAGCCCTCACGGACAAAGTCGGTGGAAAGAATTTCACTCATGTTTCCTTGTGGACCTCACCTCCCCTCTCTCTCTCCCCCTCTCTCTCTCTCTCTCTCTCTCCCCCTCTCTCTCCCCCTCTCTCTCCTCCCTCTCTCCCTCTCATGCACTCTTTTGCTGTGCGGCCGTACCTTGCACACTTGCGCGCCGTGCCCACCCCCCGGATATTCTTCCAGCTGCAGCCTCTTCACCAAAATTACACACGCTGTATGTGTCCGCCAGGAGAAAAAAAAAAGCGAGACAAGATTGACGTCCTGCATTGGACCGTCCACGCCTTTTGCAAAGTTTACCCTCCTGTTCACGATAATGCTGTGTAAACATTAGAAAAACATTAAGACGTCAGGCTAGATGTTTAATTAAAGTTAGTGTGCAGCGGCCTGTGCAGAGGTGTTCTTTCTGTTCAATCAGTTTCGAGTATTTTTAGTATGTCGATTTATTCAGACAAATACGCAAATAAGAACGACTGTCAACGCAATGAACCAATAAACACTAAGAACAAGGAAGTCATGTGAGATTTTCTTTTTCACAAATCAAGGCGACACAAAGCGCTTCACAAGAAACACAAACGTACAATTCATCAATTTAAAGATATATAGATGCACTATATTAATCCTGAAAGAAATGAACTTTTTTTTTTATCTTTAAAATTGTTTAATGTATTACTCACTTTTTTATAGCAACTTTATTTGTATTTTCAGACAATACAACAGTAGATTTTGGATTGTGGTGTTCCATTGTTGGTATCTGGTATCACAACAAGCCAGAGGTCAAAAGCAGAGGAAAAGTTGAATGATAATAATTATAATGTATTGGTTTTATATAGCACTCTTTGGACACTCAAAGACGCTTCACATGTCATTATCCATTCAATTCATACAAGGAATTGAATGAATTGCTCACTGAAATCAGGAAACCAGTATGTGCCCCTCTGACCACCATCAACCCTTCACACACGCACAGCCTCATTCTAGGCAATGTGGGTGAAGTGTCTTGCCTAATGACAGTTTGGCACTTTACCCCCGCGGCCGCCCCACTGCGGCACCTGGTGTTCTCAGAGGTTTCCCATCACAGTACTAACCAGGCCCTGCCTTGCTTAGCTTCAGAGGTCTAACAGGATCGGGTTTTCACATGCAGGTGGTGCCAATTGTTTCTATGTGGACAATAACATATACCTTTATCTCATACTTATTTATCATGTGTTATAGCATACAGCTTCAACATAGATAAGCTGGAATTAGCACAAGAGCTAAATCGTATCCATTGTCCAAAGCATAGAAACACAAAACACAAAATAATAATGGAAGTAAACACACGTCCTTGACCTTTCCAAGCCTATACGAGTGTTACATCACTTGTAGCCTATACGCCTATATCCCCTATAGTTTCTGTAAAAAGTGGTCGCACTGGTCTTATGTGATGTTTTGCGTGTGCTTGCAGACTCACAGCAGCAATCAGGAAGTCCCAGTCACAACGAACCAGGCAAAAACCCTCTCCCAGGTACGTACAGTGTCACTCACCCACTCTGCTGTCAACAGTCACAGCCATCTGCATAGCGAGCATACCTGAGCAACATGCAGCTATGGACTCGCTAACTGGTAGAGTAGTGGGGCTAATGCACACGGCTTTGAAGCTGTCCAAGCTGGGGTACCTAATCTTGAAGCCACATAAAATGGAACTGTAGTACATTATAGTTTCTTGCTCTGGTTCTGTCTCTATAGTTTTCACATACATGTACCTTTGATCAGCTTTTGCATTCAGAAAAGCCCAAAAAGTCAAATTGTGACTCACAGGGCTCGTTCTTACTTGTATGTAGTATATGACAGCATGTTGTGGTCTGACTTGTTCACAACATTTTAATTTTACAGGACTTTTTTGCTATTGGACAAGCAATTATTATCTATGGGGGACAAAGGTTAGATACCCCAGCTTTAAATGGAGCTCAATATACGGTTAGGGATGTTAATACTTTAAAGTAGGTTTGCTTTGGTCTAATACAGGGAGGGAAATCAGATCTAGTACAATAATAGAATAGTTTGACAAAATATTGAACTGCTCTGAAACATAAAACTAATGAAGGTTTTGCTTTTGTGAATTAAATTTGAATGACTACTAAAATAAATAAAACATATATGACATAACCTAGACATTTATTACAAAGCAAACAGCACATTCACAGTTGGTTTTATACTGCAATATATTTAAGTACTATCATTATTTTCAGACTAGAAATGATATCTTGTTATGTTAATATGAAATGTCAATATTAGTCTACTGCGTTATCAGTGCAAACCTCCCTTCACCATCCCTAGAGAGTAAACTGTAGCTTTCTGCTTAGGGCTGCACGAGCAATCACAATCGAATCAACATTTTTGAGGTCGCAATTAGCGATTTGCAAAGACTGAAATGATCAAAGTTCTTTAGAAACAGAAACAAAGACTTAAAATTAGCAAAGAGTCACTTAAATTTGCGACAATGTTTGAACAAGTATCTTTGGCCTTGTTATTTCCTCTTTTTCATCACAAAATGTGTTGAATTAGAATTGTCTGAGAATAATATTATATTTCAGTAAATGTTTTAGTCTGATCTATAATACAATAATTCTTTTTCACTATTTATCTTAACTGTGAAAAAATGTGTACTGAAGGTCAGAACTAAAACAGTTTCTGAAACTTGCGAGAATTGTGAATGCGGCAATCGCTTTGTAAATTTTATTCAAAAATATAATTTCGAAGGTTGCCTTAAAAAAATGGTTTCTTCCTCATCAACAGATCAGACAATCAATCAGTTTAGAACACAGGAAATGCATTAATAACAAAAATAGGAGCCATTGGTCCATAAGGAGCGAGATGACCACTGTCCATAAGTGTTAAATGTACATGAATGTTCTTATATGACATTTATTTAAATTTTTTCTTTCAGTATTATCTCCTTCAATTAATAGAAAAAAAAAAACTTTGATTTGATCAGATTTGACTCAATATATACAATTAAGACGATAAAAAGCTGAAAAACAATAATAACTCTCTTAAAGTTGTTATTTTCACCCTGAACAAAATAGACTTTTTAAACATTCAAATGTTGCTCAGAAATATCAGGAATAATATCCACTACATCCGCGTCATTAGGGCGCAATCCTGCAAACCCTCGTGCTGACAGCCCCTCGCTCCTCTGGACCGACCTGCGCCGTGTCGTCACAATAGAGGAATGAAAATAGTTTGCGAGCGTAATTGCTTTTCTACCTCTAGAGCAGGTTCCACTCTCTCCGCTGCCAAGGAAAACATGCGAGCGAGCCAACCCGTAAGACCGCGGGAGAAGCCACGGTCGGTCCCCCCTCAGCTGAGGCCGCGCGCGCACATACCGAAGCCGCGCGCACATACCGAAGGCGGGAGACTTTTGTAGGTGCCAATCGCGCTGCTGATCTGTTTTGGCAGGCTTTCTGTGACATTGGCAAAGCATCAAAGAGCAAGAGTCATTTGGGTGTTAGAAACTTGTCTGGGAGTTCTCGCTGACGAGCGGCTTTTGATTACCCTGCGCGCACTATACATTCTTCCACTGCTATATCCATTCAAGCTAGATAGTGGTGTTTAGTAATCTATAAATAAAAATACCGGTTTAACTGAACCTGCACGTTTAAGACTGTAATTAAATTGATTATCGGCTTAAAAACTCATGATGTGTTTTGTCAGTAATAGTTATAGATTATGATGACTAATGTCCGAAAGTCCTTACCTGTCTGTTGAATCTAAATATATTATTGCTAATTTTCAGAATATACTGTATAAAGATTGTGTCATTACAGATTTAAATGTACTGTCAAGTAAGGCTGCAGTGATATGGAAGAAAAAAATATCATATGTTCCCCTCATATTGACCAATCTCAACTTACAATTGGATTTTGATTAATTTATCTAAACTAAATTAAACTACACTGAATTACTGGACAAATGCAATATTTTTTATTGTGTTATTTATCAAACTGTTCAGTGCCTGACACCTTTATGGCCATTTTGTTCTGTGTTTGTTGTTTTGAATGCATATCTTCAATCAATCTATCAAATGTATTTATAAAGCACATTATCACAGTGTACTGTAACCGAAAGTGTTTCGCAAAACAAACTCAACACGTGTCAATTAAAAACAGAAAATAAATGATAAAAACAGTGCAAACACATACGAAGCATATTGTAGTAAAAATACAGTACAAAATATAAGATAAAATAACAGATTAAATGCTTCAGTTTGTATTATTTTTGTGATTGTGATTGCAATCATTAATTTTTTCAATGTTTCATTTTTTGACAAAGCCTAAATCTCAAGTGAATGTTATTGTTGCTCTACTTGCATTGAGATAATTATGAAGACACCAACATTGAATAATTCCATGTTAATGCAGCTTTGTTTGGTCTGTCTCTATCAAATAATCAACCATAGAAAATACTAATGTAAAGTATTCTTGCTCCAACACAAGGGAAACTCTGAAAATTAGAATATTGTTCAAAAGTGAATTAATTTATGCAATTCAACCAATATATGATAAAGACTCGTTAAATGCAAAGTGAGATTTGCCAAAGTCTTTGCTTGTCATAAATAATGTGGTTTTAGAGTCAATTCTCAAAATATTCACATTTTTTGAGTTGTTGTGTGCCAATTACCAACATTACAGCTAATAAAAGGCTTCAGACATTTCACTTTTCCTGTACTGCCGCTTTTATGTTTTAGTTTCACTTTGAGTCGAACTACAGAAGTAGAAGACTTTTGAGCGATATTCTAACTTCCACAGTTTCTCCCTTATTTGCTTTCTTTGTCTTCTTTAAAAAATAAAATAAATCTATTACGTTTTTATCACGCCTAAGTATTTGCTTTCATATTTGCAGTGTACTTGGAGGACAGCTTCATCAAATCTGGCGTCTTCAGCGTCTCCGAGCTGGTCCGAGTCTCTAGAAGTAAGACAATTTTTAACTTTGCATCGATCATTGATTTCCCCAGTCCCTAGTTTTTTTTTTTTTTTGCTCAACCATCGGGTCGTGTCCTCGGATAACTCCCCCGGCAGACTGGAACCAGACACGTACAGTATACTCTCATGCAGTTTCCAAGCAGCTCATGGGATTAACTCCAGCTCTTGTCAGTCTGATTGTACGGTGACATTTCTGGTCCGACAAGTTTGGAGTCGGTAATAACTGTAGTTCCGTGTTTAGACCTGTTGTCGCATCGCAGCCGTTTAAGGTTATTGAGCCTCGGGCCGCGTTTACCTGCGATGCCTCCTTCATTATTGCATTATGCAGAACCGCCGTACACAAAGAGCCCATTCACAGCGCTGGAATGTAAAATGAACTGTTGTTATGTAAGGTTTTTTTTTACAAGATGCACTTTAAAGCTGGGGTACCTAACTTTGAAAGCCACATATAAAACAATGTAATGGAGCAAGATTTTTCCAACCCTCTCAATGTAAAAGATAAAATGTTGGAATGCGAGATCAAAACAGCATATCGTTGTCTGGTTTGTTCATATTTTCAACATTTAATTTAAAGCTGGGGTACCTAAATTTGAAACCATAAAACGAATCACTAGTTTGTGCATGCGTTTTGGCCTCTGTCACGCCGCTCGATCTGCCTTTTAAAATAGAAAAAAACAAAAGAAACTAAAACGTTGACGTAAATTTTGTTAATGTTAACTTTCAGACATTTCTGTTAATTTGTATTAATTAACGCTATTATATCGAAAATAGAAGCTGTAATTCTTGTGATGCAGCTGTAAAATGTCAATATTTCATTATTTTATAGTGAAAAGGAGATACTAAGATGTATCTATCACAGTAAAACACACTGATTTATATTCTTATCTTATTCACTATGTGTTAAATATCAAAGTAAATAATTTATAACTTACAACTCACTGAACCAGAAGTAGCAATCAGCTGTTAAGAATGGTACTTAAAGCTGGGGAACCTGATTTAAGTACCATAGAATTCTTATGACTAATTCCTCTCAAAACTGTTTTGTTTTATCCCTAGCGTTCACATGCATGCAAATATAACCTCCGTCATGCTTTTTCAGACAGAATAGTGAAAAAGAAAGGACCACTTGCTGAGAGCCAATCAGCTCTCAGTATGGAAAGATAACATGTTTTTTGCTGATAAGATTAAGTTAGCATGTTGTGGTCTTATTTGTTCACAGAATGTTGCTTACACCGGACTTTTTCTGTTGGAACAAACTCAAAGTATTTAAGAAACAACACAAAAGTTAGGTACACCAGCTTTAAAGTCAACGCACGTCTGGTCTCTTAAGCATAAAAGACATTTACATCCTCCGTGCATCCTCCCCAAAACCTTTTGTAATGGCCTTGTTTTTGTTTAGCGTTTAGCTTTGCCCCCTAAGCAGATGGCGATGGCGCGGGGGTCTCCTGTGCCCGGACCCTTAGCGCAATATCCAAGTGAAGTTTTGGGAGCTCGGAATGTTAAAAAGGTCGCGGAGTGCTCTGGAGTGTCAGTCAGTAGTCTGGTCACTCCCTGGGCAGATATGTGAGCTGCTTGTTGTGCCTCTATCTCCTCTTTGAAGTCCATCAAAGGCACACACGCTCCAGGTTCAAGGCTGACCATTTGGACCAGGCCGCTCATTATGCAGCAGGAGATACACACTTGCATGTTTAAAAGTACCATGTCAACACTGAGCGGAGCAGAGGGGCTGCGGACATCACAAGCAATACACTTTACAAGACCCGGGTAGTCTTTCAACACATTTATTAACAAGTTAATTTACTACGATAATATAGATGCTACAATATAAAAGTCTATGGTATAGTGTGGTTTTTTTTTTTTTTTAGGGACAGTACACAATAAACAAAGGCTAAAAGGAGATAATTCAATTCAATTTTTCCTCAATTTATTTTTGTATAGCCCTAAATCACAACAGCAGTAGTCTCGAGTTTTCGATTCACCAAACAAAAGATCAAAAAATCTAAATGTTTGCACAGGCAATGGAATAATAAAAAAAATAGCCATTGGTCCATAAGGGCAAATGACCAATGTCCAAAAATGTTTATTTAAGTTGCGGATCATCTCTGTCCTTATACCCTCCTGCATCGACAAGAACTGACTGACTGACAAAATAAGTGGAAAACCTTGAACAAAAGAAGAGTAGCAGGAGTGCAGATTTACAACTGCAGTCCCTGAGCAGGTGATGTCACAGTTAAACAAGCAGATGGATACATGACCATACATTATATACTTTAAACATGTAGTGTGTAGTCATACATTATTCAATATAATAACTAACAAATAACTATATTGACTGTAATTTAGATTTTAATGTGCATAATAAAAATAATATAAAAAATTATAAATTCTGCTGTTTGAACAAAAGCAACTGTCTATGATCTAAGAAAATCTAAAAATATAATGCGGGTAAAAACAGTTTCCACCACAATATTCTGTACCAAAAAACTCCACAAAAAATGCTTATATCTTGAACTTTGCGATTGCCACCTAAATCATGTTTTACTTGAAAAATGCGAGCCGTTTTGACTTATTGCACTCAATTTGTCGCACTGTTTGTGTGTGCAGTCACGGCCAGGCCTTGTGCCATCTACTTACGGAGTCTGTGCACAAGTCAAATCCAGCACAGTGGCCAAGTGGCATCATAAAAGTTGAGTCTAGCCAAAAGCGAAAGAAAAAAAAAACAACGGGAGTGTGAATGATATTTGGGGGCTGTCCTCTGACATGAATGAAAGAAAAACAATGGTTTCTTTGAGCCGGTTACATTCCTCCACAAGCTCGCGTTGTGGTGGGTCGTGGGTAGGGGGGTGCTGCCAAGGCCCCGAGGAGTGGAGATTGCCAGGGTTTTTTTTTGGGAGACCGCGGTTTTGGTCCGTGGATCGCGCCAGTGGTGAACCTCAGACCACAACAGAGGAGGCCACACACTCCGCTCCGCGTTCACCCAGGCCAAAAGCACGTCAAGAAGACAAGAGAGCGGAGAGGCAACTGAGAGGAGAGCTTGAAACACTATCTCCCACCTGGACCGCAATGAGCACAATAACACACCTTCGTTTTCAGCAGTAAATTATAATAAAAGACGACAAGAGAGTGCAACAGGGACTGGTGCAAAACGACGATTGAATTTATTTCCCAGAATTAAAGCTGGGGTGCTTAACTTTCAAATGGAAAAATATAATTACTATTTATTGAAATACATGATAATAGTTCAATGCTCTCAGTTTGGTTCAATTACTTCGTATTTTTTTGTCAATGTCACAATTTTCAGACAGAAATGGGATTAAGATAAGACCACCCTCTCTCAGCCAATCAGTTCTCAGCCCGAACCTTCAAATAGTGACTCACATGGCTCTTTCTTACGTTCTTACGAGTAATGCATGTTTTTCGAAAGTGATGAAGGCAGATTGATGTGGTTTGATTTGATCATAACATTTTACTTTTACAAGACTCTTTATGTGGGGGCATGTGTTGTTTGCAAATAAATGTGAGGTAACCCAGCTTTAAACACGCTGATTTTATTCTAATTACAAGAAACATATGCTAGACCCAATCTAACATGAATTTCAGATCAGAGAACTTTGGTCCCACAATCAAGATATTTTACATAAGCTAAAGAATTTTAAGAACAGTATGACTATAGGAAGCAGTTTAAGACAAGATGAATAGATAACGAATTAAGAGATGAAAGAAAGCCGGTTTCACTGTGGGACCTGATGTTATCAGAGGTCACCCATCACAGCACTAACCAGCTCATGCCCTGCTTAGCTTCAGAGGTCATCCCAAATCTTGCTTTCACATGCAGGTGCAGTCAATAACACAGTTTCCACAAGGATTTTCCACGTAATTGAATGAATTCAATGTGGATGATCTTAAAACAAACTGTTAAAAGCAATTGCAAGCAAAAAGTCACACGTTACGACCATTACACAATTAATTCTATCTCATTAAGACGTTCATTCCCGTTAAGTGCCGTGAAGTCTTCATCTTTCACATGTTCCGGCCTGACATTGATGTGATTGGCCGCTGGAGCAATCACTTCTTCCTTAATTCCTTAAACAAAACAGCTCAACAACTCAGCACTTTTTCAACATTACACAGCATCTTTCAGCCTTTGGGATAACTTTGCGCACCACCCCGGGCCTGTTTTTTAATCTCGCTAAAGGAGCCTTCAAGGAGATTCATGGATTTTATCTGTCTGGCCTTTCTTGCTTTCCTGCTAACAATATTGATTACAGCAAACTTTAGGGGCCACTCACTTACACAATTGGATTTGTTGTGCACTCCAGATAATAAAAGACAGCGAATGCACTCTCAGGTAAAACTTTTGTCGCCCGTGGTTCCCTCTTGCAACGCAGACTTGTTAATCAGCGGATAGGGCTCGTTGATCGGGGCAGTTAACCTGTGAATTGGGAGCGCTTGATTTGATACCCCGAAACTCCAGGCGTCAATAACAGTCACTCAAGCTTTGCCTTACAGTTAATTGCGCATCCCCTCGGTCTTATAGTGCTGACGCGCAACTCGCATCTCTTGGAAGTGATTAAAGTTGTATCTTTTATGTGTCCTCTGCAGTGCCCATCACCCATGGCGCGGCGGTGAACTTCTCCATGGCGGATATGCCGAGCCAACCCTACTACCACGACCTGAACTCCAGCGTGGGGCTTCACCGCTCCCTCTCCTCCCCGCCCGGCAGGTCAGTGCAACTTCCAAAAGCGCAAATAAGCAAATATAGCAGTGTTCTAATAAGGTCATAGCAGTGTAATCTGATTTTGAAGCATGTGGTTTTGGATGTTGTAGTTACTTGTAGCATCCCCTAACATTAGTAAAGTCACGGGACCTTTGCCTGGGAGATGAGGAGTTAATTTATTCATAAAAATGTTGTTTAAGTAAGTAAGTATCATAGTCTTTATTTATACAACAAGTTCATTCAGAACGATTGTACAATGTTGTAAGTGGTAGTGGAAACCCAGATCTACCACTAACTTTCTAGCTCTGGGTTCTAAGACAATTTCTCTGCTCTGGCTTTTAACTCAAGCTAAAATTGAGCTCTTACAATAGCGAACCAATGTTTTATTTTTTCGTTGTATTTTATTTGTGTGCATCTGTTTTTGTAATGCCTGGAAAGCTCTTTGTGGCAGCCCTGTCTGTTTTTAAAATGTGTTATATACATAAACTTGACCTTGACCAGCGCACCCAGAGGAAACCTACCCAGACACGGGTAGAACATGCAAGCTGCAGCCATAGTTTTTGTCTTCTCCTACAAGAAGCCGATTAGAATTAGCTTGAATGACCTCTTTTAGCAGCAATTTTGATTAGTGGCTAGCAACGGCCTAGCAACTCGGGAGCCAATCAGGAACGGCACCTGATAGGTCAGTCGTTAGGGCTCATATCTGGATTTTCATGACCAAAATAAAAACACTAGAATTTTTACTTGCACTTTCCAATGCAAGTGAGTCAGAGTTAGATAGATATATAGATAGATAAATACGTTATTGATCCCGAAGGAGAGTTGGAGTAATACTTTGTCAATAAGCACTCAAGCTAGCGGGTTGTCCATCTACATACATAATTGTCTATGGAAAAACGTTGCACGCACACACACACACACACACAAACCATTTCAGTAGCCAAACTGTATATTACACATTTTGTATTTTTTCTTCAGCAAAAGGCCTAAAACGGTGAACATGGACGAGAACATGGACACCAGCCCGACCGGTCCAGACTTCTACTCTTCGCCAAGTTCACCTGCCAGCAGCCGGGCAAACTGGCACGACCGGGAAGGAGGTGATTCAACCCTTTCATGTTTCACTTCCTGTGTGCTTTGTTCCATACTGTTGCAAAGCTTTTGGGCCTGGCAGTAATTCAAGTACACAAGTATTTGTCAAGTATTAATTGTGGTATAGTACGACTGCAAGATAATTTTACTAAACGCACATGAGATGATTGTGCTGCCGGTCCAGTTTCTTAGACTGCAGTACACATTATCAATTGTACTGTGAGTTAGCTTAACATAGCTGGAGTTAACCATAGCATTATCCATAGGTTCTCTCTCTGAAAACAATTTGGTTTCTTCACTGGCTTTTCAAATGTGTGTGATTTTTTGCACTTGTTTGATGATTTATTTCAAACCTGCATACATTTTTACATATATCAATAGACAAATAACAAGTACATGGTTTCGAAAAGAGGTTGAATGAAGTAAATGCATGTTTGATTCCAACCCCCCACACACATTTGTCACATCTTTAGATCAGCTTTTTCAGACAATATAGTGAAAAAGAGTGGACGACCCTCACTCATCAAGACAAAAACCAAAACAGAGTAGATAAAATACAGACAAAAAGTATAATGAAAATATATGTCTTTTTTCCCATAACTAGATTAGAGAGTCATTAAGTTGTGTCCATGCAATATTCAGAAGTGATTATTATTATATATTACATTATTTATTATAACTCTTCTATCTTATACGTTGATTCTCAGTGCATCTTGACTGTTTATACTTGCACATACTTGCGTCTATTGCCGCCGCCCTACACTGTATATTAGCTTCATGTAATGACTGCTGCTAATTCCTGGGTTGCAAACGTCCTGCTCGAGTTGTGCATGAGCGCCCCAACCCTTTCTCACTCTGCTTAAACTACATCTGGTTTCCGCACTCGTGAACCTGCTCAACCCCTTTAAAATACATACCATGACAGAGATAGCCGCAGGCCTCTCCACTCATATAAATGTTTGAGCTGAGTTTTGAACGCAAATTTGACTTCCCCTGTCACACCTGTCACATGCATAAGCAAACGTTTTGTTGAGGACACGGTGTTCCGACTGCAGCACCTGAGGAGGAAACAAAAAGTCTCATTGCTTGGGCTGTTTTTCATCAACTTTTCCTCGTCCTTTGAAAAGTTTCTCTGCAAGTTGTGTTAAAAGAATTGGTCCGCTGCGATGTTTTCGGTCGATACAGGATTCGAAGCTTCCCTCAACAGAACATAGGTTGTAAGTGGTCAAGGGAAAAGAAGGTCAGTAAAGGCTTGTGCGTCTCATTATGTTGTCTCCTGATGCAGAGCGGAGGAGCAGAGTCATCGGCCTTTTAATTAATGCTCCAGTCTCCCATGTTTCTGGATCGCTCTCACTCTCAGCGGACACTCACACACCACCGCCTGCATTTGTCTTTTAAACACTTGTGCTCGAACGGTAGCTATTGGCCAGAGGTGACTAAAGTACAATGCATCGGGAAACTTTTTTTTTCTTTGGGTACCGTTCTGAATGTAATTTTCAACATTTACTTGAACATCTAGCTTGTTCTATCTATTTGAAATGCATTATGTTGTTAAGAAATCCATTCTTAAAGATGTGTGTTGTTGGCCAAACGGATAATGACTTTTTCATGTCATGTTTTAGAAAGGATACAAAAAATGCTTTCTGCCTGTAACTCCCTATGCTGCCACCAGGGTTGATTTTGTTTGAAAATAACTGACTGAAAACACAGATATGGGATTGTACAGAACATATTTATTCTTGACAAATTGACATATTTAACTCTTTGACAAAAACTAATTTATACCAAACAAGTCCTTTTTGGTCAAACTCACAAACCAGTGTACTTTTTTCAGATTCCTTTCAAATAACCTGGATTTGTACGTTGTCAGAGTAGAAGCCTGTCTCACATTTTCCGGAAGACTGTTCAAGATCTAAGCTGCATAAATCTGAAACCTGTAGATCTGAAACCAAAATTAGGATTGTAAACAATTTAAAATTCAACCTTGTTTTGATAATAGACTTAGCCCTAGCTTGGTCTGAAAACACTGGAAATAACACCTTTTCATCAGCTAATCTACACGTTGGATATATTATATTTTAATTTGACCGTATAATTAGCCCCATGACTGAAGCAGCAGTGCAGCCTCAGCAGCAGCAGCAGCAGCAGTAGTGACCACAGACCGCAGCTTGCAGCACGCTCAAACTCCAGCCTCGTCCCAGCGCACACGGCTTGCGCATTGTTCCAGACACTTTGGGGTGAACCACGGTGGGCAGGGAACTCTCCGAAGACGGCCATTATTCTGTCAGAGGAGAATAAATGAAAAAGTGGGGTGATATCAATCCCATATGAGGCCGCGCTAAGTGCCAAGCGGTCAATACTAGCACATGGTTGTCGTTCAGACTAACCTCACGCCGAAGCCGCATTGGAAAACAGGCGATGCAATTGTACAATAGTGGTTTTTTGGCAGTGTGTAACTAATATGCAACATTATTTCATGACTCTCTCAGCTATGGCAAAACATTAGTGCCATGTGCGTGCTGTTAGTATGCAACGTTTTAATGTGCCAACTCGTTTTTTCAGATTTTTAAAAACTATTTTGTCCAATAGTTACAGGTGAAACTCGGAGAATTAGAATCAAAGGTTAATTTTTTTCTGTAATTGAATGTAAAATTTAGACTCAACTTATGAAATGTGATTTATGCCGAGCCTTTTCGAAGGTTACAGTCCATTTCCAAAATATTCAAATGTATTGAGATTCATTTTGTTTTTTATGTACTGTAACCCAATTATCAACATTATAGGCTTGATACATCTCACTTTGCCTGTTATGAGTATTATTTTTTACTGCAATTTCACAAGGTTTAAAGGTATATGGGAGGAGTTTCTACCTAATGGTCAATAATTCTGGTGATAGAGGGAAAAAGTGTCTCGCATGAGGAGGGTGGTTCTTTCCTAAAATTCAAGAAATCCTCCTATATACCTTTAAATTACAGAAGTAAATTCACTTTTGAACAATTTTCTAGTTTCACCTGTATTTTATTATCATAGGCATAAGGGCAGTTATTAACAATTGTTTTGATAATCAATTCGTAAATTCTACAAAGCAATACATCTTAATTCAACATTCTGATGTTTCCCAGACCTTTAAAAATAACTTTATAATCCAACTGGAAGTTAACTGTGCTCACTGCTGTGTGTGACTATGACGAGGGAATATGGAACCAGTAATTTAACATAAGTTTTAAATAGTATTAATCAACATTAGTATGCATTGAAATGAACAGCTCACTATACTCTTCTACTGTAAGATATAGTAAATTTTGTATTTTTATTTTGTTTATCCATATTTCAACATAACTATTGGGGATATTCCATACTGGAGTGATTAATGGAAAAGAGCCCAACATTTTACATATAGACCTGATACATAATATTGTGTCTGATTGTTAAATGATACCATACCGCTATATCGTTGATGTAATCTGTTATTCGTCAGTTTCCTAACGACTGGCCTCATTGGAGTAATAAAGCGTGTATTTTTACATTACGCTAACAGTAATACAAGATGACTTTTTGAGCAGTGCTTAAATAGTTGTAATTAATTGTCCAGTGTAATTTCCCGAGGCAGTCCAGGCGAGTCTCTGGAGGACTTAATTAGCGCCTGAAAAACCTGGTCTTCATATGGAAACATTTTACAATAATATCAATAGTGCTACATCATGTCGCCCGTGATGCAAATATTGAAGTAGTTAAGCCTCTCACAGACTCAGAATTTAAGAAATCCCCAAATTCCTGTAACCTTTGTCACCCCCTTCTCCAGAAACAAGAGATTCTTCATGTGAACCGGTCCCACCGAGACTGTACAGCTCCAACATCAACTGCAACTATATTCAACATACAAGTAAATACAAACAATTAGAATTATTACAACTGCATCTACAGCTGCTACTAATACTATTACTACTACATAGGGATGGGATGGTATGAGACAATTTGAAGATTACCATGACCAGAAATGACAAAATCTGGGTACTTCCTGCTACAAAAGTGCTATTACTTAAATGTTATGTCCGCTACAATGGGGCAGAAATTCAGATAATACAAACAAGAGTAGATCTGTAAAAACACAGGAAGAATTATAATAGATAGTTTTCCCTTTGATGCAGCTTTTTTAATCAATTCCAATTGTATGAGGTTCCATCATTCCATCAAGGGTTTTATGGACTTTAAAATCAGATATTGTCCCATCCCTACTTCTAAAAGAAAAATCCGATTCCAAATATCATTTCTTGAAAGTGGACATACCACGCAGCACAGAGTTTGAGCATGTTCTAGTTGTTTTCCCGTGTCATGTACACACTTCATGCATGTTCAAGTCATTGTTGTTGACGCCATTGCTCCCCCATGACTCTTCTGCTGATCCAGGCTTTGTTTGGCAATTTTCTTTTCTGAATCTGAGATTTTGTGATGATGAGTGGTGCAGGCATTTTTCATGTGGCCGCATTCCATCGATGTTGCGTAAATAGGGCAGAGCGCAGATCCAAGTGGAAGGACTGAATATGGGAATATAAAGGACACTTCACTTGATATTGATAGATTATCAGAATGTACACTACCGTTCAAAAGTTTGGGGTCACCCAAGTGTTTTCCATGAAAAGTCACACTTATTCACCACCATACGTTGTGAAATGAATAGAAAATAGACATTGATAAGGTTAGAAATAATGATTTGTATTTGAAATAAGATTTGTTTTACATCCAACTTTACAATCCAACATTGCACCAAAAACCAGACATTTGCAGCTAGAATAGTCATTTACCACATAAGCAATGTATAGAGTGTATTTCTTTACAGTTAAGACTAGTTTAAAGTTATCTACAGCTTTTCCTTCAAAAATAAGGACATTTCAATGTGACCCCAAACTTTTGAACGGTAGTGTATATAGCAGACAAACGCTACTCCAAGCTAAGCAATAACATGACTAAAGCAATACGCAGTGGGGACTGACCAATTTATCATAGTGCCCATTAAATAAGCCTATTTTTACCCCAGACATTGGTAATTGGGTGAGATTTTACCAAGTTCTATATGGCGACGACCCACCGACTCATTTATCCAAACTTTACCCAATGTTAAACCTCATTTAAAAGCTGAGAATCTGCCATTGTTCTTTGTTAAAACTGTACAAAAAAAAATCCCTTGCAGTCATTGAGATCATAAACACAAGTTCACAATGTCATCCAGTTATTTATGCGTGGAGAGTTCCATATTATTGAAATAAGGTGCGGCTTTAGACTGAGAAATGAATCACTTGCAACATACATGCTGTGACTGATCTAATATCAAAGGAATCAGCAAAAACTGCAATTGTTATTGCATCGTGATCATTCCCATAGTTACGGAGGTATGTTCTTGACAACCACTATTCTTCTATTAGCCTAACGTACGGCCTGTTGCCAGCTACTGAAGACGACGTCGCTCACAGCTGGATTAATATCAAATTATGGAACAAATCCAAATGGCCTTCAAGCATGCAGGGATTATAAATTACCTAATAAAGCTGTCAATAGTGGTTGTCATTTGTTTTGTTTTCTCCTCCGTAACTATGGAAACGATCACGCCAACAGGTGTATAAGCCGGGAGCGAAACCCATCAGGGGATCTTTGCGCAATGCACCTTTACGAGAAATAATTTGCATATGGAGTTTGCAAATTTGGTGTCTGGTTTGAGCAGAAGTGACCAACCAGTCCTCAATTTTTTTTTAGGTTTTAGTTCCAACCACTCATTGGACAATACAAGACCCGACCCATTTCCTCAAGCGAGTCCAGTCTTAACCTGAAGACTTGAGGAAATGGGTGGAGTCTAGTGTGCTCCTGCGTGGTTGGATCTAAAACCTTACAGCCACACCTGCCCTCTCTGGAAAAAATTGGACACCCATCTCCTCTCCTCGCAGCAGTGGAAAAAATGGCGACCGTCCTGAACATGCTCATGTGACGTTCACGCCTGTTACTTCTGCCGTGATGAATGAATTTGAACTTTGAGGACCTCGGAGATTCACGGCAGACCAGAAGCCGCGGTGATGAATGCCGTCTACAAAACAAACATGGGCCATTGCTTTGCACATCTATTTGTTATCACGCCGCCTTCAGACTCAACCAGGGAAAATTGAAACGCACACATCCATGACAGCAGAATATAGCTCAAGAAAATATAGAGCAGCAGTAATGAGCAACTTGTTGGCATAGTTTTTTTTTTTTTTTTTTTTGAGTTTATAAAGTTGAATTTAGCAAACATATTTCATGCTGAGCCTTCGGGATTATTCTTGGGGAATTACAGTTGCTTGTCAGGCCACGGCGAGCAGATGCTACACTGTAAAATTCAATTTAAGATTACGTGAGGGTCTTCAAATTCCTAAATCCTATAGGGCCCAGCGTTAGTTCAGTGGGTTTCAATGTGCGGAGAGAGGGGAGTGGGGGGGGTGTTTTCTTTCCAAAGTCGACCGGAGAAGTGGAGTGATTTGAGATAATTCCCCAGATCATCAGTGATTGTGACATTGCGCTATATTTGTTAATTTGTACATTTGTCATTGTTTACAGCGCTTCCGGAAGCAACAAGCCCCTGGATAACACTAATCCTGACTGATTTCAATAATTTGTTTTTGGCAACGACTACTCTTGCACACATTTTATACCAATGTTTAAGTTGGTGTGAAACAAAAGAGAATGCACTCCCGTTAAGCTCTATACATTCACTGTTTTGAACAATTCTGGACGGGGAATTTATCGCCGTTTCGAAGCATCCGTTAATGGCTTAAACTGATTATGTTTCAGGTCAGGTCAATTTTATTTATATTGCACATAAACAGGTTTTAGGCTCCCAAAATGCCTCACAATTCCCCCCAAATGTGTAAAACCACTATTTTGTGAACACCTAGTGGTCACATGTGGGTATTAAACTTGTAAAAAGGAGTGTGCCAAAAAATATTAATACATTTAACAATAAATAGTGTGAAATTTAAATAAGATTGAAAATTGTTTTTTTTATTTAGTCATTTATTTATTTTTAAAATGTTTTTATCAATTAAAGAATTGATTAAAGTTAAGATTTTTACTTTAATATTAGTTCATCTTCAGTAAGTAATGCATTTTTCTTCAAATGGGCAAGAGGGCAATTTTTACTGAACCGTATAGAATCATAAAAGAATTGAAAGTCCCCTGTTTTGAAATGGCAGGCTCTAATAGATACCAGGCTTTACTTGTAGTAGTATTTAAAACTAGGATTTTGCAATAGACAAAAACACTGCTTAAAATAGTAATAACAAGAAAAATTGTAGTAATCGTCGTCCAAGTCTGCCTTTAAGTAAAATCAAAACATATTGAAAAGAGATATAAGAAATAAACAATTGGAAAGATAGAAACAAATAATACACTGAAAAAATACAGTAATTCAATAATTCAAGTACATTTTGACTTCTTTTCAACAAGATTAAAGACAGTCACAATGTACTCAGTTTAAGATAAATAACCACTGGATTCAAGCATTTATTACCTCATATTATGTAATATTTTGCAGTGTACTAACAATCCTGAGTAGAACATTTGCAATTCTATATTTTCCCGGCATCTCGCAGCCCTAAAACAGATCCTTGATGATTAGCGCAGGACGTTATCACCGAGGTGAAACGTGTAGTTCTGTGCTGTGGCGGCGTTGACCTTGCGCTGTGCCTCTCTCCAGCAGACATGTCCTCTCCCACCATGAAGAAGCCGGAGAAGCTGTTCAGCCCCACCTCTCCCCAGGACTCTTCACCACGACTCAGCACTTTCCCTCAGAGCCATCACCCCGGACTTACAGGTGTCGGACACAGTGGTGCGTGTCCTTACACACACACACACACACACACACACACACACACTCACACACACACACTTTATCCTCCCCATCCGCCCACTTAGAGCTGGAGCCACTTCTCCTGAGCTAAGCACTTGAGGAAATCCATCTCAATACTCCATTTAGCCGAACAGATCGATAGTGAGGTCTTTACTTAACATGGGCTGCTCCTCTGTACCGCAGTGTGACACGGCTCCTGCCGCATCTCCCCCTGATTTCATTCCGGTCCTGGTTTAGTCTCGGGGCTGTTAGTTTTGATTGTTAAGTCGTCGGTTGAAAAAATACAGGAAACTCTGAGAATGAGAATATTCTTCAAAAGTCCATTCACTTGACTATTGTTAGCTACATTTAGAATTATGTATTTATTTGTTTGGATGGATATGTTTCTGCTGCTACTGGACACAGGAATTTCTCAACTGTAATTCCATTGAAATAACCAATTAACCAGTGAACGATATTCATTTTTCACTAATTACACAACATTTCGCTTGGACATTCTGAGTATTTATAAGCGGAAATCTAAAAAAAATGAGAGTACTTAGAACAAATTAGCAGAATGTTTGATCTATTTCGGTTTTAAAGCAGAAAAAACATAAGAACACATTGTTACTAATAGCAATGTTGTTTTCGTCTCGCTTCCGTTGGTTCGAATAGAGTTAAAGTGGGTCAAACACATCACTTATAGTTCGTAGTGCTTTGGTCACGGGAGCTCAGCCACAGCCACAACCGATTGATCCACCAGCGATGCCCGTGGTCCACTACACACAGAGTTTAGTCCGGCTTTAGTCCTGGGTTTACACTGGGTTTATAAGTCCATTGTGTAGACCTCCTATAATATTTCAAAACAGCCTCGTCCCCAATTTACACCAAGCGTCTTCAGCGCGCCTTCGGAAAATAAACGCGCAACGTGGCGTATCTTGTATCCTGGATTATCACTGCGGTAAAGACACAAAATATTCCGTTTTGGTCCAAAGATGAATTTCCACTTTGTAAAAAAATGACATTAAAAGACATTCTTTTCTAGATTGAGGTGAAAATTTTCAGATTAAGCGCATTGTTTTGTGTACATTTGGGGTGAGCTCTTGTCCTGGTTTAGTTATTATCTGATCTAGGACTGGTTGACATTACAAGTATATTAACTTTTCTAATAATACTCCCAAATACCTATATTTGAACAAACAATACCGCTGCTTTAATTACACCATGTCTAAATTATAATCAAAATTATTCTTTTGGCCAATTTGAAGTCACAAACTCAAAATTTGCTTTGGTATATGATGCAAACAAGTTATAAAAGATAAATATAAATAAATCCAGATCAAATTCTAATATATAAATACTCACAATAGACATTTAACAGTGCAGATGATGTTTATACGGTTTTAGCTATTGTAAACAAATCTCAATGTCCAATGAACCAAATTGCTTCATATTTTGATTTCAATTCAGTTCAAAGTTTTTTTTGTATAGCTCGGAACACAACTCACGTCACAACGACATTTGCCTCGGAAGACTCTTTACAAAGTTATCGATTCCTCAACAACAGATCAGAGAATCAGCAAGCAGTCTCATTCAGATTCATCTTATTTGCCTGGTGCAGTAAAACCACATAGGAACACATATGCAAAAGTCCTCAGTGTGCACAAGACCATGATTTGAACACAGAAATACCATAATAACAAACACATAGAGGCCATTGGTCCATATGGAGTGAATAACCAATGTCCATACAAATGTCCTTACATGGTTTTTATCACCCAAAATGACATCCAGACATCTGTATAGCTAAATTATTGCTGATTATTGATGTGTTTTTGTCATCTGACCTGAACTAAACATCTGTGGCTCAGTTCATACATTGACTTCTCTCTAGTCCTAATGTCTTGTCCTTGTTTGACACGTTGTAATTTCATTTTAAAATAATAGATACCAACAGACTTTCCCTTAGCTAAGCACTTGCAGAAATCTATTCCAGTTTCCCCATTTGCCCTCACGGATCAATATTGACGTCTTTACTTTGCACACCCTCTCTCCTGCAGTTATATCGACGAGGAGCCCACCGTCGCACTCGCCTCTGCAGTTTTCGGCTTCCACCATTTTGCCCCCGGCACCTTCACCGTACTTCTCCCACCCAACGATTCGCTACCCGCCCCACCTGAACCCGGGAGACCCCCTCAAAAGCTATGTGCCGTCATATGACCCCTCGAGCCCACAGAGCAGCCAGGTTGGTCCTATTTCTGACTCACTGTACTTTGGGGGAATGCGGTTTTCTGTGTTTGGAGTTCAAGTCGGAGGAACTAACTTTTTTTGGGTTTCATAAATACATGTTGTTTGTCTCAACAGAAATAATTTAACATGTTGTGAACAAATCAGACCATGTTATATTTATACTTACTGCAAACAAACAAAAAATGTATTGAATTGAGTACAATACAAGACTATTGTTCCATATATATTTCATTTATTTATTTATCAAGATTTTTATTATTTTCTTTAAAGAACAATATTCTACAAAATAAGTTTGGGTAAAAAATATATGTATGTTTTTTTATTTTTTACAGACCCCTATTTGAGACCGCAACTTTTGGTACACTCATTACATTTAAACTGAGTATAAATGTACACTTACAACATTTGCACTCAGTGTGGTGTGATCCGGATAGCCCGGTTAGGCAAGGCAAGTTTATATGTATAACACAGTTCATAGACAAGGCAACTTAACATGCTTAATAAAAAAACAAGATAGAAACAGCCAAACAAGACATTCAAATCATAAATAATATCAGTACATTCAACAGAGTGGAGTTGTCAGTTGTCTTCACAGCCAAACGGTTTTAACCTGGATTTGAACATTGTCAGCGTAGAAGCCTGTCTCACATTTTCAGGAAGACTGTTCTGGATTATAACAGCATAAATCCGATACGCTGCCTCTACATGTTTAATCCTGACTCTTGGCTCCAGTCCTGAGCGTATCATTTAACTGAACATTAAATTGAAATAGATTTTTTGTGTGTGTAATAACTAATATTATTTCAGCATATTTGCTTCGACGTCTTAAATCAAATTGGGTTCTTTATATGTTTTTTTTTTCTTTTTTTACCGCTAAAAGAGTATGAACGAGCCAGTCTGTTCAGCATTTTGGCACAACTTGTATGGCCTCGAGTAAGTTGACTATTATCTGTTTGGGCTGTGCTCCCATTCGACCTCAAGAGATTCAAGATTAGATGAATTACTGCATGTGTTTCTCATTTATTCATTACTCCGATGCTGCATTTACTGGTAACCCCAAAAAAATCCCTCTTAATTCTCTGCTCCTGGTCACATTCGTCTCATCACAAATAGCGTACATTCACCACGCTGCCAAATTGTATAATTGTGGCATCAAAAGTAGGAAGCCCGCGCTGCAATTTTTAAGTTATAAAAATATATTAACTGGAATGGCTTACAAAACAAAAGCAGGTGTCGCGGGTAAGTGCTTTTAAAAAGGAAATGAGCTTGTTTAATGTACCGGTTGGCTCGCGATAAAGGCGCGTTTGGCAAGGAGCATCACTGTCTGTAGCCAGGAATACTTCCATAAAAACTCTTAGTGCTTTTCCACCAAAGTTTTGCATGTATATTTGAAGGTTGTGGTCAGTAATTAAAGAATGATCGACGTTTAGTTACCAGCAGATATCGTTTGGAAATCGCTTGAAACTGTTATTGTCACTGCAGAAAATAATCCTTATTTTCAGTGTATTTTTAGGAAAGCTTTGCCGATGGGACAAAGCCATTTAGCCTTTTTTCAAGAAATGTGGCTTTATTTTCTCATTCCAAGGGAGATATTTCTTGTATCTTTTTAAAACAAGATCATTTTGTCTTGTCCCATTGGCAAATCTGGTTTTAGGGCAGTCAAAATATGCTCAAATTAAGAAACATTTTGCCAAATTTGAGCAATTTTGAACCTATTTTTCATCACTTTTTGTAGCGTTTGAACTCGTAGCAACAACGACTAAATCCTTAAGTGCAAAATGAGACCTTTAAACCTTTTTGGCACGATGCTGTTCACGAAGACAAACATAACTAGATGAAGTATTACTTATAACAACGGGTGAAGGCAAATGTGTAATTATGAACGCTATTAGAAAATCATTTCAATTATTTATAGCTTTAGTCATCGTCTTGTATATTTGGTTAACTAAATGATTGCTTTTATAGATTATATAACCGCTTGCAACAGGCTTTCCCTTATTACGTTTGACAATAGTTCCGTTCATGCTGTAGATTTTTATTACAGTTGAAGGGCAGGAGCCAGTACAACTTTATGGGAAAGGAGCCGTTTTGAGTAAATTCCAATTGTTTTCCTAGATTATTATCAGATAGAGTTTAGATTCCAGAAACCTGCCGTATTATACTTACAGGTTTACAGTGACAGAGTGGTTAGTATTCTCGCTTCTCAGCAAGAACTTCCTGGGTTTGAATCCTGGTCGGAACATGGTCTTTCTGAGTGGAGTTTGCATGTTCTCTCCATGTCTGGATAGTTTTCATCTGGGTGATATAGTTTCCTCTACGCTTAAAACCATGTCCAATAGATTCCCTCTCTCTCTGGGACCAGGACTCAGAGATTATTCTATGTGATTATGCATGTGTTTTTGAGTATTACTACCACTTCTAAACACCTTTATCAATCAGCTATCAATCAAGTTTATTTATAGAGCACAATTCATGCAGTGCAACCCAAAGTTCTTTACAAAGACATACATAGACATTTACAAGTATTATAAAACATATACGGTCAAACAACAATGCATACGAATACAATGAATGTCAGAATCAAAACTGTTTTAAAACAACAATTATGAGAGACCATATAATTAGACCATTGTTGATATGTATGTATATGATCTTGAACTCTGTGATAGTTTTTGTTTTGTGTGGATCGGCCCAGTAATTACAAATAAATCATCTATAAACTAAGACAAGAATCTGACTTTTTAACAAATACCATAGTTACCAGCGATGATTTCTCAGCTGCCTCCGCTACAATCTTAGACTATAAGCGCTTTAGAATGTCACACGGATCTATCTATCATCTATGAACTTTCCCAAATGCAAAAAAATGATCTCATAGTCCACAACGTTTTCAACATACTAACCTCCAACGCCCTCCAACGTTGACAGTACATTGACTTTTATGGTTATGTCTCCATTCGACTCCAGTTCAAGTGCATTTCAGTCGACTTCCTAAGCTCTCCTTTTGACACTGAATAACTGCATGTGTTTGGTGTAATAAACTGCTTATGGCAAAGGTTATGCTTCATTCCCAGACTCATATTTGCAGTCAACAACCCATTGACTCCCTAAAGAAGTATTTCACTGGCACTGGTCACACGTGAGCGGCCGTACTGTATAGAGACATTGTTGTAGATCATACTGCCGGGAGCTTATTTTAAACCACATTCTGGGCTCTGGAGAAGCAGCAGCGTTAGAGAGCAGGCGTATATAGATGAGAGAGGGTTGTTATATTTATGTGCGTTTTATATCCCCACTGTTCTGACTGTAAACAAAGGGCCTCATAGTCAGCTTCATATACCCAGCGCAGGGAGCTCGCGGTGAGGGTAAGACGAGGGGGAGAGGAGGGGGTTCTCTACAGAAGGAAACCGCAGGGAATGATAAAAGCTGGAAATGTTTAGACTCAGCTCTTGTGAGGAATTAGCTGGTTAGTTTTGGGTTTAATCCTGCTTTAAGTCCTGGTTTTGTCACCGCGTAAACCGTCTATCTGATTCTGTCCCGGCTTTATTAGCTGTCTAACATCATAATTGGCCACAAAATTATTATTATTTGATGAGGGCAGTCCGTTAATATTCAATAAAAGGCTAAATAGTTTTTCCTTAAATGCTTGTATTATATTAAAGCTGTAATAACTGGGCTCTTTTCCTTCAGTTGGACAATCTATTTTTATTTATGGGCCAATTATTTAAGAAGGTATTAATGAGAAAGCATGGGGGGAGTTTAGGGTCATTTTCTTTTTGCGTAATTCTATTAGTTGTGTGGACTGTCTCACGTTTTCATACTGTGTTTTCTGGAGGGCTGTAATTAGTTCTATTCAATTTATTTTTGTATAGCCATAAATCACAACAGTCGTTATCTCAGAGGTCTTTACAAAGCAGTCGATTTTCCAGCACAGATCAGAGAATCAAAGCAGAAAGGCAGTGATTAAAAAAAAACAAAGCCATAGGTTCATAACGGGCAGATGAAGATGGCAGACCAATATTCATAAATGTTAATTCATAGAGGTCCAAATAGATGTCCATTAATCAGCAAATTATATTTTTAAAGAAATACTAGTATGTTTTCTTTTAGGGCACGTTTGCACTGCACCAATTCTCGTTCCCTTAATGAAAAAATATTTATTTGTGTATGTAAAAACTTCCAGACAAGTGAACGTCTATAGTCCCTAGAGTCCGAGGCATTTTTCCTCAAGTGAACCAGACCCTTAGACCCTAAGTTTTAGTAGATCAGGGGTACTAAAACTTTTTCACAAACATGTAGAAGCAGGTTCATATCTGTGTTTTCTATATATATTTACTTATGTTGTATGTTATGGAGGTATTTTGACAAATAATTACTTTCATCCAACATGATTTTGGGTTTTCTTTTAGTTCAGTTTTTGTGGATTGAACCAAATCTGGACAAAAAGTAAAGAGGTATTGTTATTTTCTGACAGGATATTTATTTATTGTCGTAATCTTCAGATATTCACTTGTAAAGGAAAGATTTGGTCTATAGCAGAGTCCATACACTAGGCTGTAAAAATGCTTTAAAAATGTTTAATCACTGTCCTCCTGTCTTGTTTTACCAATATAAGAAGGTCATGAGTTCGAATCCTGGTCTTAGCAGAGTTTGCGTGTTCTCCCTGTGTATGCGTAGGTGTCCTCCAGGTGCTCCCGTTTTCCCCCCACCACTAAAAACCTGTACAAGAGCTCCCCTCCCCTCTCTCTGGGGCCCGGCTCCCCTGAAAAATATACTCAGAAATCTCAGTGGGACTTTCCTGGTCAAATATAATGCCGTGGGTGTGTATAATTAAACCTACCCAGACGGGAGTGCCCACTCCGCTGTCCCTGGGTCAGTTTCTTTTGGGGTTTTGACTGGTCCTCTGCTGGGGGTGCAAGAAAAGCCACGGCTATTCTAATACCAGACTGCGAAGAGACCAGCCAGGGAGCGAGACGAGAGGGAGAGGGGGAGCGAATAAGTCTGCGCTTAATAATCCAGTGGACGAGTGCCAGGATGTTTTTATGCTTGCTTTAACGCAGATTATATTACACTCTAATTAAACATTCTATTCACATCGGCGGGAACCCTGTGGACACAATTCTACTCCTGGAAAAAGGGCTTGTTTGAGTTTCGAACTTGAAAACGGGCACCCCAGTCAGAGCCCAGCTGCCTAAAAGAGCTGGCCGTTCTTTCTTCCCCTGTCTATATATACAGTGCCTCTTGGGTCTGTAGGCTTACCATTGTACTGGTTTAGACTTTTCCTTTTCACACACCGCTTCTCCTAAATTCCCTTTATGGCCGACATTAAAATCATTGTCTAAAATCATGTAGGAAATCCATTGTGTCCCGCGCCCCCCTCGCGAGTTTAAGTAATAACTGTGACAGAGCCAGCCACTAAAAATCTATTATCCTCGCCAAGCCTGGAGTGTAAGCTGTCCACTCACCTTTTGTTGCTCATTTGAGGTGTGTGAAAGCGAAATAAAGAAGTGACCGCAGCCCCCAGCAGAAGGCAGACACTACTTTTCGGCAAATCCTCCATGAGTCGAGTTGGTTACATGCCTGCAAGTTTATTGAGATTTGCCTGATTGGGTTTTTACAGGCTTGTAAACATTAGATGCCTGAACGTAGTCACTGGTTTGAGACTGCGATTTCTGGTACACTCAACAACTGTATCGGTGGTTCCCAAACTTTTTTATCCCTGTGTACCCCTCGTCAGTGTAGACAAGGCACAAGTACCCGCTGTTGTTAAGGGAAAATATGTTTACATACCCAGGAGTGTATGTAAACTCATTTGGTTATAGCAGTAAAGACACTGTTTCTGTGGTTTTACTGCTAAACCGAGGTCTCCTACTATTTTAATCGAAACGTGTATAACTTATCTTTTCTATCTGCTTATTTTGTTTGAATTTTGTTTATTTTTTGATTATGTGGGATTTTTTAAAACTATTTTTTATCTTATATTCAACTTTTTTATGAACTTAAATGCCTGAACTGGACCAAAAATAATTGTTATTGCCTTCCTTCCTTGACCAATCATTATTCATAACTGCCCTGGGTTTAAGGTTTGGAATAGAATAAATACATAAAATGAATAAATAATTAATAATTGTTGTCAATGCAAATGCCAAGCTCATTTTCTTGAGAAAATGAACTTGGCATTGATGTGTAACATATGGCAACGTCAACATTGTCATTGCTCTATGCAGCCAAACTCTGGAACAGTCTTCCTGGGGACGTGAGAGAAGCTCCTAGTCTGTCAGTGTTCAAATCCAGGCTGAAAACACTTTTGTTCAGCTTTTTGTGCAGTGTGTGTTTTAAAATGAAGAATTCTGCTGTACAAATACATGAGATGGATTCATTCTTCTGTGTATTGATTATGTTGCTTGTCTTTCGTCCCGCAGCCCAACAGCAGTGGTCAGGTTGTTGGAAAGGTCCCAGGACACTTCACCCCCGTGCTGGCCCCCTCCCCTCACCACGGAGCGGTCAGACCCGTGTCCCTCTCTATGCCCGACACTAAGCCACCAATCCCCACATCCACAGAAGGTACAGCACAAGTTTCATTCATCACTTTTAAAACCAGTCATGTATCTAAAGCTGGGGTACCTTACTTTCAAACCAAATGTGAAAAAAAATCCTCTAACAAGCTCCCAAATCAGCATGGTTCTCTCAGTTTTCATAAACATTTTCCCTTTAGATCTACTTTTTCCAGACAGAAACGGGAAAAAAGGAGACCACCCTCACTCAGCCAATCAGCTCTCAGCCCGAAGCGTGAAATATTGACTCAAAGACTTCTTACACGTATGCTACTAAGAAGAAGACTTTTACTTTTATAAAACTCTTTCCGCCAAGACAAAGATAATTTAATATTTTTAGTAATATAGTTCATTAGTCTAGTGTATAGTATAGTATAGTAAAATTATATATTACTCCTCTTTACTTTGATTTTTTCTTATCTTTAGTCCTTTTTATGTTTGCAAAGAACTTGAATATTTGCAGTTTATGTGATTTTTTAGTTGAAAATGCGACAGACAAACAAACAGGTGAAACTTGGAGAATATCTTTCAAAAGTTCATTTATCTTTGTAATTCAACCTAAAGTGTGTGAGCAATAAATGATAGGATAAGACTCATTACATGCAACTTGACGTATACCAAGCCTGATTGTGGCTTTCAGTCCATTTTCAATCATCATTTTTTCATTTTGGGTTTTTGAAACTGTGAGACCAGTTATATTCTGCTTTTTCTAAGTTCCACCTGTATATATACATCGTTTGAGAATGTCAAAACAGCGAGGACGGAAAGCTCCTGTCTGATATTGAAGTCTGCCATATTTTGATTTTCTCCGCAGGCTACTCCACCCCTGGAACCCCAACAGCCAATCGCTTTGTGGGACTGAGCCCTCGAGACCCCGCCTTCCTGCACCAGCAGCAGGTCAGCACCTCCTCTGAGCCCTCTCCAGTCCTCCTCCTCTCTCTCTTTCTCCATCTCTGTCTTTCCCTTCATAGCAACACACAAATACAGCCCCAAAACATCCACATTTACAGCTCCGAAAACACAATTCTGAATTTCCTTACATCTCTACTGTACGTGTGTAACTCAAACGCTATTTAAAAAGATGGGATTCAGTGAAATGTGAGTTTTGTGTTAAAGTGTTATTGTGAAAACCAGACTAGAACATTTCAGTACCACAGCGATGAATTCAAAATGCTCTTTTTTTAACAAAGAACTGTATCTTTTTACTCTAAATCAGGCAAGTCCAAACTAAGCCATTGAGGCACTTTCACAGTGTCATGTAGCCAACTTCAGCTCCACCAATACAGTCATGCTACAGCTTGTTGTAAAGCTCAGAACCTCAGAAAACCAGACAGGCGTCGACTATATTTGTATTTACTAACATGTGTCACAAAATGTCAAATACAATGCTAATGTAGCTGTGTTGTGTATCCATATGCACACTTCACATCCTATTCTAAAGTCTAGATTAGCCCCAATCCTCTCAAAACAGTTTTACAACCCATGATGTCGGCCCCTGGACAAGTCTGACGAATAAAAGTGGCCCTTACAAAGATGCCTGCACTGAATAATACTACTTTTTATTCTGGCAGTTTAAATTATATCAAAAACTGAATGTTGTCCAGTTTATTGTATTTAGTATCTTTACCTGCTCAAAATTGGCTCTTGTTTTAGTATTGATTAGTACTTCAATTAAGAACATGTACTTTAGCTTCGTTTCTCTGAGGCCTGGACTAATAACAACGATAATAATAATAATAATTCACAATTGACAATAAATGAAAGACTATCTGAAATAATTTTTTGGGAAGTATAGGTCTAAGTTACAAATATAATAGTAACGATTTGTGACACATTTATAGGTTGGGTCAATTACAAAAGTGATAGTTTTGCCTTCAGAACAAATTTAATGTTTTTTTTATTAAACCATTTCTGTAATCGATCAGAGCGATAAGAGCAATAACCATTGTACTTTAAATCATTTATGTCACCTTTAAAAGCAGCCTTTTAAACCAATGCAAAACAATCACCTCCATAAATAATTCTAACAAACCATATCCATCCACTTATTTACATTTTACCCAGAATCCCAGCTTTTTTGGCCCGATTTTCGAGAGAGAGTGAAAGCAAGGAAGCACACATCCTTATCCGTCCTCAGCAAATAAGACGAATGGGACATGTGGGGGCCTTAAACTGCGTAACGTTCTCAAGTCTATTTTCCGTTTCCGACATAATAATATGAGGTAACTCAGACTTTCACACGCTACAATGTGACATGTCATTTTCAGCTTTAGTTTGGTGCAGAGCAGAGAAGCACGATATTGAGAGTTAGCATGAGGCAATAGTAGCCAGCGTTGGATCTATTTATTGTCTTTTTATTATCTTGGGGTTAATGTTAGTATTATTTTATGCAATGTTTCATGCAAGGAACAAATATTCTTCACCCATTCTCTTCTAGTTCCAGAAAACATAAGAATGCCTTTATAGTGGAAAATGTCAATGCCACTGTAGTTGTGCAGTGAATAACTATACGATTATAAATAATAGCTGTAAACACATATGCTAAACCTGTGCGTTTAAAGCTGGAGTACCTAACTTTGAATCCATAACAATGAAATCCATGTAACTAGTTCCCCACTCTCAAAACAGATGGTTCTATCACTAGTTTTCACATGCATGTATATTTGGCCTCTGTCACAGCTTTTTGACAGAAAAGTGAAAAAAGAGAGAGGACCGTCTCAGCCAATCAGCTCTTAGTATGTAAAAGATATTAAAAACAGTATGCCTGATTTTACAAAAACTTAAGACATTTTCTGTTGGGACTAACAGAATGGATTTCTGTTAGAAATCCATTCTGTTAAAAAAAAGAATGGATTACCAAAGAATGGATTACCAAAAAAGCTAGGTAGTCCAGCTTTAACAACCAGTATAGTTCTAACTGCACATGGGAAAAGATGCTTAGCAGTATAGGGCAGCAAGAATAATTATTGGTACCGTGACCAGTAGTAGTACAATGAAGTATTAGTAGTAATAGTAGTAATACAATGAAGTCCCTGCTTTAGCTAGAGCCCGTATGGATGTCTGTATGTTTGTGCGGTTAGGGGGAGTAGTGGGATGGAAGGGGGAGAAAGTGGGCCCCTCCCTTTCTTATTGAAAGCCCTGGTCCCGGGCCAAGGCTCCTCCAACCACATCTAATTGAATGCATCTGCACGCGGGTACATAATGATGGCTGGTCTCTCCTCAGCGTCTACTCGCTTTTTTTTTTTTTAATGCTTCGTAAAAAATGACAAAGCTGCCCTATGTTTCCTCGCTCCTCTTTCTATCGCAATTTTTCTATTCTTTTTTTCCCCCCTCTGTTTCTTGTTGTTGGCTTTTCGTTTCCCATTTGTCCGCGGAATAGGAAAGCGAGTAAGTGAGTTTGGCAGCGTTTTAGAGACGCTCGGAATGGCTGCGTTCTAAAGGACGGCGTCGTGAGATAAGCAGATCACATTAGATTTTCTATGGACAAATTAGCGGAGGCAAAATCACAAAAAATTAACAATCAATATCGTTTGAGCAGCTGGCAACTTAATAACTTCATACTTCATTGTTTTATCGGCCTATTAGGATGTTGAGAGCCATCTGAAAGCCAGTAGTCTGAACGCAGATGGGGCCAGCTGAAAAATATATAGTTAGAATGCCGATTTTTGCAGGAATGCACTTGTGTTCTGGGTCCAGTAACTAATAGAATAGGTTGCATTCATTTTGTTGAATTCTAGTTCAGTATTTTAGTGTAAGTGCCAATCAGCTCTATGGAAACAAAGCCATTTTTGAAAGAATAATACAAAAAAAAGCTATATTATTCTTATACTAGAAAGTCTTGTCTACTAGCCAACATCATGCATATGTTTTTAGAATATTGTCACTATTTCTGGACACATTTATGACAAAATGACTAGACCATAGTTGATACTTGCTGACAAAAAAGACGTAGAACGAGTTACCATAGTTCCCAGGGAAAGATTTTGCAGCTGCCCTCCACAATTTTAGACCACAGGCGTTTTGGAGGGACACATGAACGCAACCTTTTCCCTTTTTTTTGTGTGTGCATCTCTCTTGTGGAAGTACAATGAAATGATGGAAGAAAACTGGTTCTCGCCCGCCCTCACATTCTTAAAGTCTGAAAACCAACAGATCCGATCTTCATCTATCCCGTGTAGCGTCACTGGTGCAATAGTCCATAGGGAGGAGCTGGCTGGTTTGCCTTGCACATTTTTCACGCAGCTTTGTGACTTCTTTAGGAGGGAGCAGACAGGAGCAGAGTACAGGAGCTTTCTGTTTCCCATCTCAAATATAACTCACATATAAAGTCTTATCTTAACTTATTTATGGCAAAAACTGAAAACGATGTCATTTCCCAGTGGTCTTAAGTTTTTACTAAATTAACCGCTTAAATGTGATCTACTATAGCAACACTTGGAAAGACTATAAGCATTGATCCAATCCTGTTATAGAAAACATGTCTCAGCCAAACAGAAAGATCTTGTCTGTGTTTGCTCCTTTGATAAGATGGACAATGATAATAGTATTAAGTCTTCTGTTGAAATGAATCTGGATTTCAGCAGATTTTAGGGATTTTAGGGAGTTCCTTGCAAAAAACTGCTTACTAAGACAAGAAATAAGATACTATTGCTCAAATTAATCTTAAAACTAATTCTTATTTTGGTCTAATTTGACTCTTGAATTTCTATTTGCCATTGGAGGAATTATCTTTAGCCTTCTTTTAAACATAGTCGCATTTTTGTCTCATTCCAAGCAAGGATTTTTTATTTTTTTAGTACCATCAGAAAATCTGCTTGAAGACAATGCAATAATATGCTCATTCATAGACAAATAGTTCTGCCAATGTTTTTATATTCCCGAAAAAAAATCTGGTTGTACTTTGCTTCAAATTGGTCAGCTTTATTTGAATTTATTGTATCGTACAACCACACCAGCTGCCCAAAGTGCTTCACATGCACACAAGAAAACAGCATGAAATACACACATTTTGAGGTGAACTACTACAGCGTTTGAAAGATTTTAGAGTTGGATGTACGCCCAATCGGATCACAATCGCAATGTTAGTAAAAAATCACATATTTTTGCCCAAGTTGATATTTTACGGCTGCTGGAGGCCTTAGTGTTTGTATAAGCAGGCTGATATTCACATGGAGGCTGCTTCTGGTGTGTGTGGCGGCTGTGCTGGTTTGGAGGTGTGATTCTGGCATGGTGACGTTGGCCAGGCCCCCCAGGACTAAACACAGGCTCTTCCATCATTGTCCCCATCCGCGACAGCTGTTTATTGAATGGGATCTTCTCGGCTTATTGACATTTTGGGCATGTTTAGATTCAGCAGGCTCGAGTGTGGTCAGCGGTAGTGTGGCAATGTCGGGAGAGAGATTAGAACTGAGTCTAGTGTGGATCTGTCGACATCTGTTTAGTTCTTGTTTAAGACCTGGGTTAGTCCTGGTTTAAGCCTCTTTTTTTGCTTTTTGTCCTGGTTTTGGACTGTGTTTTTTCCTTGGTACCTTCCGAGTAATGATCATGTAACTGTATAGTCACCAATTTATGATATTAGAGGCACATACATTTTATAAATACACTTCTAGCGCTGGGTTTCTTCTAGAATTTGTCAATAAATTCAGATCAATTAAATTCAACTCTATTTGGTATATTTCTTATTCATTCATACAGTTGAAACAAATGGGTTTTGAATCCTTATATTGTGCTACGCCCCATTTAACAAAAATACAACATTGTGGATGAGTTCTTCCATGATTTTCCATTTCTTGAAAATTGGTTGTCTATAACTATGACAAAATATATTTCACACAAAAAACAAGACAAGAAAAAAAGCTAAACAAATATATAATAATAATTGAAAATTCAACATATTTTGAACACATTTTATACATCTTACATTAGTTGCTCATTTAACATTGTCTTCTTTAGAAAATAAATACAGTTGTTATGATACAATTAGATTCTAGCAGAAAACCCCTTATATCTATGACACTATGCATCAATATCTCTTGATCATAAATCGTATCAAATCTGTGTGGGACCTTTTTATTATCATAAACCTCGAGACTTTTAAGTAGAAATTTTCAGCTATTTAAAGTAACTAACGACTGGCTAATCACATGTATCTTTGACCACCGCTTGGCGCAAAATGTCACCGCACTAAAATAGCCCGCACTGTAGGCACAGACCAAAGCCGCCCGCATGCACAGCACCACGCGCCACACCTGCTCCGCGGTTCCCAGGCAGCCCGATATACCCACCATTCAACCCTCTCCCTGGTTAACCCCTCGTGGGAATGCCACCATCCAGCATTCCTCAGGGAGAGATCGTGATCAGATGACATTTGGTATTATCTAAGGGAGAATCCTAATCCACAATCTGCCCGCATCTGTTTGCAAACGTTCCCAGCGACGTTCCCAGGTTCTTTTTTTCTTCCTCCTTCTTTTTTTTTTTTTTTTCCTCTGCTGCTTGTGCCACTCTGATGCCAGCGGACAGATGGCAGGGCCCTCGAGGAGCCGTGGCACAGAGCGTCTGGCCCGGGCCGCGCTTTTGTCAGGCTGCAATAAAAAGACGCAGGATACTACAGAGGGCATTGTTTCCCGTGCACTTTTATGAGCCAAGTGTAAAGATTGATAAATTGAGTGCCGTGGATTCAAAGAGCGTGGAAATTGTGGAAATGGACAGCGCTGTGCAAAAAAATATGAGAGGATTTTGTGGGAAATTTTGCGACTGTATAGGCCAACATGACATCATTTTGGATGGAAGATTTTCTTGCCTACTGCACATACAGACACACATGCATGCATATATATATATATATATATATATATATATATATACGTATATACAGGTGCAATGTTCAAAAGTTCAGTTATTCCTGTAAATGAACTTAAAATGTGAAACTAATACATGATTTAGACGTGCCACGGTTTTCCCATTTTTTGAGACGTTGTATTTGGGTGAGCCAATTATGAGCCAATTATCAACATTATAACAAATGAAGGCTCAATATATATCTCAAAGTTTTGTCAAAGTTTCACTTTGTAAGTTGAAATACAGAAGTAAAGTCTCCCAGGCCATGTCCATGGATAAACTGGAACAGTCAGGATCCACTATAAGCAAAATAACATCAAGCCACAACCCACATAAGAATAGATTTGACTATAATGCAAAGTATATTTTCAATGCTTGTTTTATCAATTTATTAATGTCAAGTTAGTGTATATAATATAAGTTGTATACCACATTTAGTACAAGCATCTCTTCACACAGGAGGAAAAATATAAGCATTGAATAATACCACCAAGCTAAAGCTATGAACAAAACAACTTTGGCAACTTTGGCAAAAATATATTGCAAAACATGTGTCTAATTTGTATTTGACTAATTAATAATTACCAAAGCAAACTCCTAGGTTATGACTTCCTGCTGCTTACAATGGTAATAATTCTGATTAAGAATAACAACGTGCTTTATGGACCATTTATTAATATTACATGCTTGAACAGCTTTTACGTTAGGGTTAGGGTTTGGCTCTTGACCTACTTGAAACAATCCTTCAGTTGAGAAGCACTTACACAGATCCAGGTTCAGACACAGTCATTTGAATGGATCCTTACATCATTTGTGTCTATTTCTCTCCAGTTTTGAGCAATAACTTAATTATTACAAGATTGTTTTGTGGCACACCATCTTCTAGAGCTAAAATCTTTACGGAAAACATCTGTAGGGTTTCACCTGTCGATACGCCTAATAAGTCACATTACAAATTTCCCCTTTTCCATCCTCTTTCTAACGTCACTGCTTTTAAGTACAGCTTAAGCAGGCCGCCATCATCATTCCCTTGATGCATCTCTGCAGGTGCTCGCAGTTAAAAGAACCGCAGTCTTGACCGCTGCAAATGGTGTTGAATATTCAGCTCTATCTGATTAAGTCCCTCTTAAGAGCCCCCCCCCCTCCAAAAAAAAAAGCTCCGCGCAGAGTGCTAACCGTGCAGTTTTAGCCGCGGTGCATTACTAAATGAATGTGCAGCGTACGGGGCAAGGTTAGGTGAGCGCCGGTCGGCTCTCATCTGGATTGCCGACACGTGCGTCCGCATAATGCATGTAAAGAACGACGCTGTTTGTGTAGCTTTTTGTTGCACTCACTGGTAATGCCGTAGCTTTCCTTTAAGAGCCCGGTTTTTCTTTATGCATGAGTGTGCGTATGTGTGCTTTAACTTCATTGTACTTTGACCCCTCCTAATCAATAAAAAACAGTTAGCTAATGAAAAAAAAGAAGAAGTGGCGTATGCTCCAGGGTATATGTCCAGAATGTAAAAGTGCACTTATACAGAAGCGGACTGCATGGCTTCAGCGGCTAACCCTCTACACACTGACACACACCCGCCGCCCGGCAAGACACACAAACAATAGCACTCACCTTTTCTCACTAAATAACCACCTCTTTCATTTCCAGGTCATCAGAGGTGGAAAGGTTTTGATTTTTAGCCTTTTTTGTAATTTTATAGGTATTTAAGTTACATAATTTTTGAGCTTTAAATACATTTGAAGTGGCCATATAATGAGTTAAAGCTGGGGTACCTATAAATAATGCATCATTTTGTTTTTTGTCCACAACAGTAAGTAACCGTTTGTGGACAGGTCAGACCACAACATGCTGTCTTCCTCATACTAGAAAACATGATACATTTTGCATACTTGCAAGAAAGAAGCCTGTGAGTCACTATTGGACTCTTTGGGCTGAGAGCTGATTGGCTGAGTGAGGGCGGTCCTCTCCATTTTAAAATATTTCCGTCTGAGAAAGCTGGTCCACAGCTGTGACAGAGGCCAAAAATACATGCATAGCTATAGGAGAGGCAAGGCAAGTTTATTTGTATCGCACAATTCATACACAAGGAAACTCAAAGCGCTGAACCAGACAATTTAGCATTACAATCATAAATAATCACAGTACATTAAACATAAAAATATAAAATCCCTCCATCCCCTATAGGAACAAACTGTTTTGAGAGCAAGAAACTACTGTATAGTTGTATGGAAGGTGTGGCTTGAAAGTTAGGTACCCCAGCTTTTATTGCCATCTTTTTGAACAGCCCTACACACAATAACATAGTACAGGTTGCTGCTAGAAGTAACAGTAGAAGTAAAAGCATTTGAAATAAGTAGTACTAGTTATGTATGCTGTAATATTGTCATCAGTCACTGTAAAATCCAGTTAAATGTATTTTTGCGTAGCCTTAAATAGCCTGAATCAGTAGGAGGACTTTACAAGCTGTCGCCTCGCCAACACAGATCAGAGAATCAAACGGTTCGAACACAAGAAATGCTTAAATGATTAAAAAAACACATAGAACATTGATCCTTAAAGGGCAGACGAGACGACCAATGTCCATAAAAGTCACTATAATGAGGGGGATTTTAGTAACATTGTATTTTTTTGACAACCTCTTCCACCTCTGATCCCGCCCACTAACCGCATGGCCCTTTCCCCTTGTGTCTATTGTGTCCATAAGCCTTTCTCTGACTGTCCTACATGTACTAACCCCATGGCTGTGGCCCTCCTCTGCATGCCCTGTGTCCCCTGTGCAGTTGTAGTAGTGTAATCTGAAGTGGAAGTTGTCTTGGCCCAGTGATCTGACCGCTAGGTTTCAATTGACAGCTGAGGAAGTGTGACTGGAGCGTGACTCAAAACGGGAGGCATTATGGCCCCAGTGCCACTGAGGACACTTTGGGGATTACTTGGCAAAGGTAATGATTTCATTCTTTCAAGCCCTCTCTGTCTCTGTGCACTACTATAGACCCATGCATTGACCATTCTGTCTGGCTGTCCATTCCATTGTATGTTTCATTGTGGTTTTGTGAGTAGTAAGTGATTAGAAATGTTAGTAGTTAATAGTTTAGGATGTGCATAAGAGACATGAGTATTTGTTCTGCATATGTTTTGTTTATTTCTGATATTCAACTTAAAAGGACAGTATGTGATATTTTCATTTGACATTACATTTACATAATTTATGTGTACCTAATCACATAAATCATGTTTAATCTTTAATCTTTTCTGAACTAAAGTGTAGTTATTATTAATTAAAAAACAATAGGCATGATGTCCATCACATTTATGTTGTACAGTTTTTAGGGCTATCCAATCAGAGAGCAGAATAAGTCAGGGTTGCCAGTTTGTTAGAAGAAATTCCCCTGTTTTTATTTATTTTTGTATATATTTTTGTGTCACAAACAAAAACTTGCACCACACATGTATTGAAATGAAACCATATGTGATACCATTTAGTTTGTACCATTTCTTGCTCCAGCAGGTGGATTGCATCTGTAAATAATGTTTAGGGGTTTCCTGTGTCTTGACTTGATTAAACCACTAAGATAGAATGATACATATTACATTATTGTACCTTCAAAGTGTGAAACCAATATAAGTGACACTTGACAATATTTTGTTATAACGTTGATGATTGTGGCTTACAGTCTTATATCACTTTCACATTTTGAGTTGAACTGCAGAAGTAAATGGACTTTTTGAACAAATGTCGCCTGTAAATTCCCAATACGTTATCTCTCAACCATGTACAGTCCAAACCAGAAATCAAAAGTCTACAAGTTATTATGTATGTATAATGTTATGCTATATTTCATTATAAAGACAACAAAAAAGCAGATATCAGAGTGTTTGCTATAGGCTTTGATAACAAGGAATAGTATTGATCTTTTAACTTACTGAATGGCTTACAATTGGCTCTGAACAAGCAGTTTTTAAAAATCTGGATATATTTCTGTGCAATAAAAAGTTTTTCCTTCAAACGTACTTCCAATAACAAGAAAGTAACAAGACACATACAGCTGTTTTACTTGATTCCTAACGGTGATATTACTTCTATGGTAAATGTAAAACTATAATATGTCAAGGATATATTCAATTACATGTTATTGCTCCAAGTTGACAAAAGTACACGGCAAACATCAAACATTAAGCAAATCATCATCATGATCATCAAACATTAACTCGAATTAGGTTACAGTACATTTATCTTGATTGTAGAACAGTCGTTTGCCGGCCTTAAAACAAGAATCGGCGGTGGGACTAGCTTAGATTTCTTTTTGCTCCCAGCGTTGAAATTAGAATTGTGTTCTCGTCCCAACGCCCGAACTTGTACTAAAACTGTCAAAGTGTACTAAAAACTAGTTGATATAAGCATTCACTCCCTTAGTTTTTTGTATTTTCCGTCTGTGAGCGAGGTCGTCTTGGTTGAATCTCAGCACAACTGTTGCAATGTACTCAATTATTGTAATCTCCTTTAGTCCGAATCAGCGCAGGTAGAAAGAGTCATCCCAGGTCAGTGCTTTTAAGCCATGTGAACATCGTCTCCACTTTAACAAGCTCAGTATTGTCTGGGCAGGAGTCACGCTTTTACTCTCCTTTAACTTTAACGTACACACACACACACGCACACACAGAGCCCCCTCCGATCCGCTTCTATCCTTCTTTCTTCCTCCTCGCGTCCCCCCCATGCACGAGGAAAACTCTGAACCGGTTCACCTCGGCGCGCACGGCCCCCGCGAGCTGATCTGAGCCTTTTCCTGTTACAAGCTAGTCTTCCCTTTCCGTGTAAGTCTGTGTGTGTGTGTGTGTGTGGGGGGAGATTGTGTTTGCAACCTTACAAAACACACATACACTGCAAAAAATAGGAGGAAAATATTGATGTAATTGAGTGGTTTTTATCTTAATTTGAGTTCATTCCATTTAGTTTTATTTCAAGAACTGTTGCTGTATTTTATCATTCCAAGGGAGATATTTCTTGTATCTTTTTAAAACTAGATCATTTCGCTCGTCCCATTGGCAAATCTGGTTTTAAGGAAGTCAAAATTTGCTCACATTAAGATACATTTTGCCAAGTTCGAGCTATTTTTTGCAGTGCACACACACGCACAGACGCATATGCACACATACCCGCAGACATACTGTACGTACAAACACACACACGTACTCGCAGACATACACACACACACATGCAGCAGCACACCCTTAAACAGGCCCCTTAAAAGTCCAGCGGAGGTAGGAAAATGTCCCCCAAAGCGGCTCAAGGTCCAGCTCGACACATAAACAGTAGTGCAGCTGCGCACAATAAGTCACCGATAATATTTACACAATGAAGCTGGAAAGAAAATAACATCTCTTTCTATTTTTAGTCGCAAAACATTTTGATTTGATTATAATTTTACACTCGATTTAGGCTCGTCTTGATGCGGCCTCCCATTTCTGTTCAGTTTAGGGTGAGAAGAAAGACACTTTATTAAGTTTTGAGCAAAATGTTATGATTAAGATGAGGAGATCCTATTATTCATCGCACAGTGGGGAAATTTCAGTGTTGCATCACAAGTTACAGAACAGTGGGAACGAGGAGCACACATCACAAGATAAATGAACAAACTCTAGACTAAATAAAATAAAATGAAATCTCTAACTCTAGCATGAAAAAGAAACAGGTATAACAACTCTGACTTTAGCATAATAAAGAAGTATAAAATCTATACCTTTGGCATAAAAAGAAGCAAAATGTAGACATAACAACTGAAATAAATTAAATCAAGAATGTTAAACCGTAAGTCTGAGAGTATTATAAGTACATAGTATTCATATGTTTTACAAAAATAAGCAATCTCTCACTTAAGGAGTGAGAAATTTCTAGTTCCATTGGCAAAGCAAGAGACTTATTCATTCAAAAACGCATTTATTTCAAAGTGTACAGCTTCACAATGTAGTTAATAACACAATACCTTCATTTCTCATGTTGCTAATCTTTGACGCGTACAGAGATACGAGGGTCTCTTTTATCTTAGCTGTGCCCTTTACCGGAGAACGCTCCTCGGCCCTAAACCCCAAATTAAAACCCAGCCAGACCTGCATGTTGCCATTGTGCAGGAAATGGGTCAGCAATCCATTAAGATGCCATCAGATAATCTAATTTAGGGAGCTAATCCTTAAACCAAGTGCGGCCGACGCTCCGGCCCGTACGGCGCTCACAGAGGGGGCAGAATTAGCCGGGTTTGGGAGAGGACAGGGACAGCAGAGGCCAAAGGGGGAGTGAGGTGAGGGGCGGGCGGCCATCTTGGGAAGGTTACCTAAGGAAATCGCATGATGGAGGTCATGTTGTCATCGCGTCCTGAAGCGGCCGAGCGAGAGAGAGAAAGAGAGAGAGAGAGGCAGGGTGAGATGTCAAGTAAGGACAAAGGGAAGCAGGAAGTGTTTTGGGTGAATGTCCTGTTTGAAATACAGTACAGTGGATTCAAAGCAATCGTCAAAATTCCTTTAGTATTGTTTTTATGTTAAAGCTGAGGAACCTACGTTTTGTTTTGTCTTATGTACAGACAGAAGAAAAGTCTTGTTTAAGTGTGAACAAATCAGCCCACAACATGCTAACATTGTATACTTAGAAAACACATTACATAATGAGGGCTGATCGGCCTCTTCTATGAACTTTTTCGTCCCAAAAAGCTGTTACAATAGACCCAAAATGTTTGCACGTGAAAATTAGTCATAGGTCCAAACCGTGACATGCAATTTATTCCCAGTTGTTGTGATTTTCAAAGTTAGGTATATCGCCTTTAGACTAAGAATTATAGCGTTTTCCTAACAATTAGAAATAGGAAGCAATTCTATTATTTTGAAAGCCTCCTTATTGAAAAAAATCTTGCCATTCATTCATTAATTCAGTAAAAGTACGTTAGAATATTACCACTAATTATATTCTTATTTAAATGTTTGAGTATGACAAAACAAAAAATGTAGATAGATGTGATAAAGCTGCTTTGTTTAAACCTGGTCAGTATTAACACAAGGAAGAGCCTTGAAATCTTTTGAGGAAAACCTTAATAATTACATTAAAAAATCAATCTAAAAATATGTTTGTTTGCTCAGCGATATTTGTTAAACAAGCGTAATCTCCGGTGTGCGCACGGTTGGAGTTTGCTTTTTCCCCCCCTCCAAATCCTTATTAGCACTGATTTGTGGGTCTCAGTACCGGAGCAGTGGCTTTGCTTTGCTTCGCTTTGAAATCCCGACCACCACTGCATTAAGTTAAAAGACGTAGATTCGGAACGACAGCCATCGATTTTAACGAGATTAAAACCGATCCCGTGTCCTGCGCGGTCACAGGGGCCCCGCCGGGGAAAAGCTCTGTGTCTGTGTGGTCCGCGGGAACGCAAAAAAAAGAAGAAAAAAAGGCCATTACCTGCTTGAGCCTTTCATATATATAAAAAAATAGAAACAGAGAGATGTAAAAGAGGAAAGAACGGGCCAGAAAGGAAATGTGCCGCCCCTGTCCGATCTGTACTCTCTTTGTTCGCCGAAGGTAGGAAAAACTTAATCTCTTGTTTCCTGTCCGATGGTTTTTGGCAGGACGAGAGGCGAAAGGGAGCGCAGTGCGAGGATGGGCCCTGCAGGAAAAAGGCAGGGGATTAAGACTCAAAAGTTAACTCTTTACGAACCAAAAACACAAACAAAACTTTTCCATTGTGTCTTATAGATGTATAGGTCAGCCCAATCTGGCGCCCGCTCCTTTGGCACGCGGCACGGAGCCACGCAGGTTGTCTCGAAGAAAAGTTTTATACGAGTGAACTTTTATATATATCGGAGAAATAGGACGATTTTTTGACTTTTTTAGTGTTAATGTTGTAGTTTGGGCAACCTTTGAAACCAAGTGAATGTATTTATTTGTTTATCTTTGACTGACGTGTTGGCCACTGTCCAGTACGGTTCTAAAAACTCCCGGGAGAGATTCATCCGTCTCTATACAGCAGCAAGACAAAACATGGCAAAAGTTATCGCAGAATTTCTTTACAATGACATACAACAAATGACATTTAATTAAGTGCATTGTGAGCTCTCTTAAACATGATATAAGATGAAGTTTACAGTATTTCTTAACACAATTGACAAACAACTTCTGACAAGATACAAAAGTACATAAGATCTGGATAAAGGACCAGACATAAGTTAAAAATTCTAAACTCCTTCCCTTTAGTAAACGTTTTAAACTGAAATAGCCGCTTCAAACCAATCTGAATAAGACATTTGCTCCATGGTGACCATTTTCTGATATCAGCAAGACACAAACAAAGACTGATTAAATCAAAAAAGACAAAGAAAAAGTGGTTATTTTTAACAGTTTTTTTTTTTCTTTTTCTTTTAGATTATTAAATGTAATATCAAACAAGCAGGCGCGTGTTGCAGGAGAATTCTGGGAGAAAATTAGAGATTTTTTGAGAAATGTACTTTTTTAATCATGTTTCGTTGGTGAATCTTCTAAATATTAGTTTAAGCCATGATCTTTTCTCTCACGTTAAAGCTAGGGCACCTACATTTCATTCCACAGAGCATTGAACTATGTCAAATCCACGTCACTAGTTCAGTTTGCTTCTATCACTAAAGAGACGACAGCATGCAAAAGGGACTAGTGCAAAACAACAATTGAACTTCTTTCCCAGATTAAAGCTGGGGTACCTAACTTTCAAACAACAAAATAATGGAACTATATATTAAAAACCATGTAACTAGTTCAATGCTCTCCAAACAGAACTAGTTATTTTCATATTTCTAGTCTCTCTCACATCTTTAGATCAGCTTTTTCAGATACAAAAGTGAAACAGAGAGGACCAGCCTCACTCGGCCAATCAGCAGGGCTCTTTCTTCCAAGTATACAGAAGATAACATTTTTTCTAATGAGATGAAAGCCTCATGGAGTGGTCGGATTTGTTCACAACATTTGACTTGTACAAAACTCTTTCTTTTTGGGAAAATCACAAAAAGTTAGGTACCTCAGCTTTAACTAAAACATTTAGTTTGAAACGCTTGAATTGTGTGGATTTGGAGTCTTAAAACACGAGCCATTCTCTTTGTTGCTTTATTTTCTCATTCCAAGCGACACATTTCTTGCATATTTTTAAAACAAGATCACTTTGCTTGTCCTATTGGCTATTCTTGTTTTAAGGCAGTCAAAATGTGCAAAATTAGGATACATTTTGCTAAATTTTAAGGATTTTTCTACTTGTTTCTCGTAACTTTTTGCAGTGTGTAGTGTAGGTGGATGACTGTTGATTTCTGGTTTGCTGATGCACGCTGTCACTCGCACAGGTACATCCCAGTCTGGACATGAGCAGAGGAGCAGGGCCCTATAGACCAGAGCGCACGGGGGGCTTTTCACAGGGTGTTTTGGGGGGTGGGAGGGGGGTCGACGGGGGCTAATTATCCGCCATCTCTGTAGCTCTGCACCCCACGGGAACAACACGGCGCTTGTTCGCCGATCGCGCATTCAGTTAGCGCCGTTGCTTCGGACGAACAATCAGTGTGTTGTTTTGCCATTAGCGTGAGATGAATGGGGAGGGGACAGCTTTGTGTAGGGTGCCCCCCGTCCCCCTCCTCACCCTCACCCAAGGCTTTACTTCACCCTATCACCACCATCGCCTCATCTGCAATCCACGCCACTCTCCATTGCTTTTTTCTCTCCCTGTGCAATAATGTGTGTTTGTACAAGCGGTTAGCACCTGTGTCGAGGAAGATTACATTATTATGAAGATTAAAAATGCATACGATCAGAGCAGTCATGAATGTGGTATTGGTAAAACAAACAATCCTTTGCAAATCCAAAGGGAAATTGATTTTTTTTTTAAGACAATCATATTGCAATGGTTAAGTTACTCTAGAATAGTAATGTATTAGCCTGCATGCTAGAGGATGATATAAACAAATACAAGTGAGCTATCTATACTGTATATATGTATGTATATTGCTCACTTGTATTATTTATAACTTGTGTTCAAAAGACTTAGTATAAGTTTTGGTTCAAATACCAGGAATATGAAACTACTAGAACTCTTGAATTAGAACTGCTCCATTTCCAACCAATGGATGTCAAAGAAATGTTAAGCTTTTCACCACATATAGTAAAAGTAAGTAATTCATGAAGTTTTTACCTTTAGTCACTTATACTACACACCATGGTTGAAAGCCAATCAAATCCAAGAGAGACATACCCAACAGAATTGAGAATAGAATTAGTATTAGAATATTGTCTATGCACTTTGCTGCTCTTAAAAAACTCCTTGGGAACTGTTGGCAGTGTTATTTGGGTTATTGTCGCAAAGTTTTGTCCAATTTCTGAATTGTGCAAAAGTCAAAGTGACACAGACTCAAAGCACACCGCTCACTTTCCCAAAGCGGTTTAAGCAACAAAGTCCAAAGTGATTCACAGAAAGGAGAAAGGGCCGGCTCCTTTTGTGGCACTAGCACCTGGCACAGCTGATCAGTGGCGTGCACACAACAAATGGCATTTAAAGCGGCATATGGGCGAAAAAAATGTCGTTTGAAATGACATGTGGGCAGCAAATGGCATTTAAAACAGCATGTGGACCACAGTCAAATGACCTATTTCTGATAACTTTTTGCCGCGTGTGTAGTGTCCGCCCTGAAGGTACTTATTTTCCGATAATGACTTGCGTTCTATACATTATCCCGCTTATTATACGGCTTTGTACCAACAGAACACACAACATAAACTTAGCCGATGACCTTCTTCTATATATCTCTAACCCTTTGATATCTATTCCTGCAATTATGAAAAAACAATTCAGCTTATTTTCTGTTGTTACCAATTTGGATCTAAACGGAGCATCCCCTCATCGGAGCATTTTTTTTCAGATATAGCTTCAATATCTCATAATTGTATTTATAGTGTTGTTGTATCTCATTCACTTTGAATATGGAAACACATTTTAAGGCATTTTGGTCTGCATTCTAACCCAATGCTTAAAATCACCCGTTTGCAACCGGGTAATATAGTGATTCTGATTCTACTGTGTTTGAAATAGAAATGTTCCGATGGGTTTTACTCACAGTTGCTCTGTCTCTTGTGTCTCTGTCTCCCAACAGTCCTGGTACCTGGGCGAGCTTAGTTCCATTCCAAGTGTCGAACGGGACTCCGATTCTGCCAACAAATGTCCACCAGAACTACAGCATAAACATCATTGGTGAGCCGCTGGTCCAGGCCGAAACCGGGAACTGATTCCAGAACCCCACCCCCTCTAAAAAACCCCATTCAGAAGACGGACAGGCCGACCCGGCGGTGGTGGTGGAGGATTGGGATTTGTGTTTTTATGTTATTTTGATTTGGGTGGTGCCTCGCCGCGAGCACTACAGGTGTCTTCAGCCATGGATGAAACCAGCAAGCAGTAAACCCACGCTGCACATGTACACCCAGCTCTCCCCCAGTATTTCCCCTGGGTGACCCCCCCATGAACCCCCCCCTCCCCTGGAGCTATTTGGACGTCGGCCTGAGGAGCAGAGCTGAAGCAGTCGGAGGGAGAATCACAGGCTTCAGGTCTGCGTCCGGCGCCCGCTCCACGCTCCGCCACCCTCCAGGCAGTTGTCGTGTGCAGGACTTTCAGATCCATTCAAATACTGTGATGTATAGATGCCTTAATGTTTATTGCATGACACTCTAGTCTCTTAGTGGTAATCTCCTCAATGTCGTGGGGTTGTCATGACACCAGTGAAGGGGTACAGCCTCTGTCTCGCCGTGTCCCCCGCTGGAACATGTGAATCAGAGTGTTTCTTCTTCCGTTTGATTTCAGTTTACTGTGATACAACGAACGTGTTGACTTGTTTATTATTTTCTTCAATAATTAATGTAAACACAGAGAGAGTTGAGAACTCTCGAAGCAGTTTTCAAAAAACACTAAATGCTCGGCCTGAGATTGAACCCCTCATAAAAAATAATAATTTGCAACTCCTTTTGAAAAGGACTTAAAAAGCGAAAATAAGGAATAGAGGCAAGTGCAATTGAATTTTTGAAGGGAAGCTATCAGTCTGTCAGCCCTAAGACTCTAAAACAAAGGGGATAATTATTAAATTGTAAAATGTTAAAAAGAAAAGTCAGTCACCTGTCCGTGTGCTCAGAGGAGGAACATCGAGAAGGCAGGCACTAAGCTACCTGTTCAGCAGCACTTCTTACCGCTTCCCGGGTAAAAGGGGAGCGCTTTATTTATTTTTGAGGAAATCGACAAAAACCGTAACAAACTGACTTCACTTTGAACGCTGCGATAAGATCAAGAGCATATGCATTTGGCCATCAGCTTCTAAAGCTTATGTTTACAGAATATAATATGGAATGCAAAGTATTAATCATGGACAATTCATGCAAATGTACAGTGAGCTTCTGTGAAAAGCTGCGTGTGCGCAAGGTTACCCACAGCGGAGGAGTGTCCAGACTTATGAACCAGGTTGTGGCAAATCCCTGAAATCCACAATTGTGCACGGCATGTTCACAGCCATTGCCTCTCCAATCCTGACGTATTTATACAGGAAATCTCTCCAATATTTCTTAATTTGCACGATGACATATAGTCCACATTACGTGCCTTGCCTTTGAATATAGAGACATCACTACACTTGTTTTTGCTGCATTTATCATTATAGAAAAATTAACATTTTTATGATAAGAATTGTTTTGTACTCTGAATGAAATTGTTGATTTTTAACTTCATGTACTACTCTATCTCACAGTTACATTGCATATCAAGGCTGTGTATAGTTGCCGTTTTAAAGTTTGTAATCAACCAGCATTTTTGTTCAGTATTTTGGTGGTTTTTCTAATAACCTGTCATCTTCTTTTTATTTCCTTTTTAATTTCAGTGCGCATTTCGCTCATCTTCCAGTTACTATTGTGGAGGGTGGATTCAGAATTATGACAATTATGCAATACCAAGTTTTGCCTATGTAGGTAGTGCTTATAGATGCGTCATTATTAGAGGCTAGTTTGGAGATAGACAATATTGTAATGCTTTTATTTTGTTGATATTGTTGTTTGTCATTGTTGATGTTGATGATGTTGTTGTTGCCGTGGGTGATTTTGTCTTTTTTTTTTCCTTTTCTTTTATTGACCAAAGTGGGGACTGCTTTCTATGCAGTGTATGACAAGGTCTTTTTTCTTTTTCTTTTTATTGTTTTGAACAAATCAGCCCGACGAATGACGGCGAGTCCAGTAAATTTGAGCTTAGGAGGGAATTGTATTTAATTAGTTTTTTATTATTATTAATTGTTCAAAATGTACCTTTGGTCTTACTACGGCTGCAAAGTCACTGATTGGTCTACTGTGTCACCTTTTCCATCTTTACTCATAGGGTGCTAGCTAAAAAAAACAATCTCTCATATTTTATCACAGGAGCGACGGCTTGACTTGAGTTTGACAATCATTTTGAGAATCTTTTTTTGTTCTTTTAAACAGATTTTTTTTCTCCTGTGCTCTATCATTTTGTTCCCTAAGGAGGAAAGACTATTGCCGTTTCAATTTCGCGAATGCAATTTTCCCAAGTAGATGCCTTAAAAACAACAAGAGAAGTGGCCTGTGATCCTATATGCGCAACAATCACGCACCGACTACTGCTGAGCGCTGTCCGAATCAGCTATGGCAGCCTCAGGCACGCCTTCAGAAAGTATTTTATAAGTATTAGAGATGTATAAATGTAAATATGATATGCACATTACTGTATGTCAGATCCTCCCCCCCACAGCAAGAATAGACGCTTAAATAGAAGTCAGTAGAACGAAGAAGAAGATGAAAAAAACATAGCACTTAAACAGCACTTAGGCAATCATCTCTCCCTCTAGTTATGACAGTATTAAACAAATCGTGGTAACCTTTTAGAATGACTTACACCGGTATGTGGCGCAGAGGGCTTTTGTTATGGCCATAATCTGTTTACTTTCACTTTATGCACTGACTGGGGCGTGGTGCTTAAAGCTGGGGTACGTAACTTTCAAGCCAAGTGTTAAAATCTTAACGACTGTAGTTCCAGTTTGGCTCGCTAGTTTTTACATGCGTGTACTTTTTTTTTTTATGCCATCTGCTTTTTCAGACAGAAAAGTGAAAAAGAGAGAACCTCCCCCAATCAGCCAATCAGCTTTCAGGCCCCAAGGATTCAATTAGCGACTCACAGGGCTCTTTCTTATGCAAAAGATAACCTTTTTTCTATTAAGATGAAGAGACAGCATATTGCGGTCTGAAAATTTTACTTTCTCAAGGCAAATAACCAATTATTGAGGAAAGTTAGGTACCCCAGCTTTAACCTCCACTCAAACTTAGCCATACTGATGTTAATAGACAGTCTGAAAAAATGTGAATTCACTGCGATACTCAATACCGTGGAGTTACCCTAAACGGTTACCAACAACCTCTCAGGCGTACACCAGGGCATTATTTCTTATATCAATCGACTTTAATGTGAATTTTATCTTGACATCATTTTTTTGCACTCCGTCCCTCGAATCGTGAACGTTAAAAAAAATCGCGCCCTGGGAGAGCTGGCGGCGTCTCTCCCTGTGCTACCAAGAGGGCTACTATACGCGACACAGGAAGTAACATTTTCAATTCTCTCAAGTCAAGCTAACTCCCTCCAACTTCACCCTTTATATGTTGAAAGAAAAAAAAAACTGTAGAACGAGCCACCCCGTCCTATGTGCACTGTTTTTGAAATTGATTGAGATTTCTTTTTTCCTTGTGGACTCAAAATTTGTAAGTGCTTTGCAGCCGTGAGCCATCGGACACCCCACTGAAGTGCTTTGTCCCCGGGTGCGTGAGCGTGTGTATGCGAGTGTGTGTGTGTGTGTGTGTGTGTCAGGGTCACTGTGTTTGAATAGGAGCTGTACATAAGGGGAAAACCTGGCTGAAGCTTAGGAGTATGCGTGAGCTAGAGTGCCTCGGACACTAAAAGTAAAAATGAGGGTCTTTCTATTAGAAATAAAAAAATATATCCTGTGGTATCAAAGACAGGAGTTTGTACACTGTAAAACTTTGTCTCTTAAGCCCTTATTTGTAAATCTTCAATTTTTGGGGAAAATGAGTCAATTCCATTTTAGGAAATTTTTGTGTTATTTTTTTTGGAGGCTGGATTTGAGTTAGAACTCTCCAGATTTCCCTTAATATTGATTAGTAGAGTCTAAAGTGTTTATGTTGTCTTTGTAAAATCAGAAATCAAGGGGAATCTTTAGAAATCAGTAAATATTGAAAAAAACAGCAACCATGAAGGCTTTTTTATTATTATTGATATTATTATTTCTGAACCTAGTGCTTAGATATTTCCATGTGGAAAACATAAGTATTTGTTGTTCTTTCATTAGTGTGGCCATAGCGAGTGACGTGATTTACGCATTTTGTTGAATTTTATTTTTGAAAATGGGTGTGTTGAATTCTTGTCCAACAAGATCTTTTATGACGTGAGTGTGTTCTTGTAGCAGCTGGGATGTGTCCTGTCACTTAAACACACTCAAAGAAATACAGTGTTGGATTTCATTCATAAAGTCGGTTCAAAGTCACTATTTTGTTGAACTTAATCACTTCAATCCAACATGACTGAGTTATGTGGAAAATGTTGCTTAACTTTAATCAACTCAATCCAACACGATTTCTTTGAAGTGCAGTAGTACGGCCCCAGATTGCACCTGAAAATGAAATAATTTAAAAACGAAAAAATAGGTGAAGCAGGGTAAAGACTGCAGTGACAAACAATGAATTTACTTTATATTGTATTATTATCAAATCTTTTGCAACTTGACTGGTGCTACGCCTACTTTCATGTGACATGCCAACGTTGAGCCCGATTCGGTCTTGTGAAAATGTCGCTCAAAACACAATCAGTATAGAAGCTGATTTTGCACTTTCCATAAAAAACAAAAAGAAAAAGAAACCGGATTGGATCCTGTTTGCAGGTGCTTGGGAGCAGTACCTTCCAGCTGATGGTATTGTCTCTTTTACTAATACTAGGCAGTGTGAATGCAGAGCGAGGCTGTAGAAACTAAACAGTGTTCCCCACCAATCATCTTTCTACAGCCTCCCCACCACAACATGATTTTCTTTAACACACACAAAAAAAAAAGTATTATAATGTCAGACAGGACTTTATGCAAGGAGGACCTGCGGCACTCATGCAATATCTACGAAAAACCGTCTACGTGCAGACTCTAAATTGCTTTTTTTTTGTTCTTTTTGTTTCTTTGTACATCAAGCAATACACTCACACTTGTTCCATAGACTTCGTTGGCTAGCTGCTAGTCACTTGGCATCAGGTTGTTCCTAAAAACATGAAAACCAGCATTTTTACAGGATGAGAACATTCACCAAAAGAAGACAAAAAAGATAGCAAATGCAGTGCCTGTCCAAGCTGTCCACGTGTCTGTTGTATATACTTGTAAAATGTGATTAACTTTCATATGTGACAAGAAAAATGGCATCACGCAGAACCCAACTGAGAATAACAGTTTTTGTTTTTTTTTCGTTTTATGATTTTATTTTGGAGAAAACATGTCCGCACATATTGCCCGCATCAAGCTTGCTTCAAATTCTACTTCTTCTGTTCATGGGGATTTTTTTTTATTTTTTTGTTTTTGAGTTGATGAA